TTCTGCACTAATGCCATTGGATGAATATTTAAGTTGTTCGGAAAAAATCCTTAGATTTCCTTAGATTTTTTCACTTCCTTAGATTTTCCTTTTCGACACTAGAATTTCCTTAGAAAAGGAAATTTCCTTGAAAATGGAAGCACTGGGTGGTGGGCAGTGACAAATTCTCGTCCCCAGGCTACCTATATGCTACCCTACGTACAGTAAGTACGTAAATTATCGCGTGGTATTAAAATTATTTGCTAGGCTTTTTTCCGTTTGGTGTATCAATAGCTATCTGAGTAGTGCACTACTGCTCACCTTCCAAATGGATCGTTGTGGTAAAGTTTAGAGAATATTGTCGCTGTAAAAAACTTTTTACACTTTTCTCCAGTTTGTTCTTTGACTTTGATAAAATCTTCATAATTTATCATCTGGCAAAAATTGTCAAAAATATATTCAATTTTGTGTATATCCACCAATAGCAATTTCCAATTTACCCTATTGTTCGAGTCACGGATAGGTAACTTTCCTAAAACATTGCTATTGGTTAGGCAAAAATACAGCACGCACGTGACGGTGAACGACCAGATTTATGAATAAACGTTGACTAATATAGATAATGAGTTATATTGTTATTCTAATGAGTTTCACAACCGTCTTCCCTTCGATAGGCTATGGTCATATTAAAATAAAAGACAAAAATAAAAAATGAAAACACACTAGCTGTTGAAAACCCAACATAAAGACTAAACCATATACTTAAATTTGAATAACTATCAGGATTTCGTCATCTCGCTTGATAGAAGCGAGGCCACAGCCCCACAGGTTCGATTTCATTTTTCAGTTTTTGTTTGTTGGTTCTGGCATGGCCTATCGAAGGGGAGATGGCTGTGAAACTCATTAGACAATATAACTCATTATCTATGTTAGTCAACGTTTATTCATAAATCTGATCCTTCGCCGTCACGTGTGTATTCACTGTATTGTATTTTTGCCCAACTAACGAATAGCAATATTTTAGGAAAGTTACCTATGTATCTGTGACTCAAACAATAGGGTAAATTGAAAATGGCTATTGGTTAGTTGGGCAAGAATACAAATCAATACACACGTGACGGTGAAGGACCAGATTTATGAATAAACGTTGACTAACATAGATAATGAGTTATATTGTTATTCTAATGAGTTTCACAGCCATCCCCCCTTCGATAGGCTATGTTTTGGCTTGTGTCATATTAACTTTTTGCAATTCCACCCACCTGTTCATCTTGCAGCACAGGAAGTGTTTGATGTTTGTCCAATAAATACCACAAGTTCTACAATTAATATACAATAGACCTTACCGACTATTCTCTTCTGCCCAATTGCCCGATGGCCTTGTTTCCATGTTAACTTATTTTCGCATGCCAGGTGCAGATAAAGATTATACATGTATTCTCATGTTAATTCCCTGGACGAATTTGTTTCTTGCTGTTCTTAAGCACAATAACAAAGTAATTTTCAACCATACTAAGCACAAAACATGAGTAAGTATTTTACATGAAAACGAGGCCATTGGGTGATTTCAAGTAAATAAAGGTCTATTCAGGCTCAACTGTAGACAATACATTTTTAAAGGTTTTAATACTAATAGACAATACATTTTTAAAGTTTTAATAATGCAAATCATTAAAAATTTGCATAGGATTATTAGAATAACTTCAATATATTGTTGGCTCGTACAGTATACCCTAACAAACATTGACTTTTTCTTTCATTTTCGATTAACTATATATCAGCAAAAATAAGACAAAACGAATTTTGCTGCAGGCGACTTTCACTATCAGTATCATGCACCATCAAGTGATATCAATAACTATTGTAATCTATTGATACTACAGTACGTGCAAGAATTAAGTTTTGCAATCAATCATATTTAAAAAGCACAGTGTTAGCCAGTAACGAAGTAAAAAATCAGTATTTACTTGTAACGAAGTATTTTTTTAATGAAGTACTTTTTACTTGTAACGAAGTACGATTTTCGGTAAATATTTACTTTTTTACTTCGTTACTTTTGTTATATTTTGGCAAAGTAAAAAAGTATTTCTCAAAGCGGTGAGTGGACTGGAATATATATATATGGAGGTATTTGAAGAATAAAGTTGTTTTACCGCGTTACTTACACGTCTGAGTGTTCTATTCCTGCTTAAACCTTTGCGAATTTATATTCTATTTCAGTAGTACTTTTACTTAAGTATATTTTCCCAATACTTTTCTTTTACTTAAGTAAAATTTTCAGGCAGTACTTTTACTTTTACTAAGTAAAATTTTCAGGCAATATTTTTACTTTTACTTAAGTAAAATTTTCAATCAGTACTTTTACTTCTACTTAAGTAAATATTTTGAGTACTTTGCTGAACACTGAAAAAGCATGATTGTATATTTGGATGCCTAGGGATTTACAGGAGGCCTTTTTTGAAATTCCAGGATTTCCAAGAAGTTTCCAGGACTAAAATAAGATTTCCAGGATTTTGATGGGGCACACAAACGCTGATTAATAATCTTGCAGTTAGGAATATGCTCACACATCTACCTGTAATTCATCATTGTCCAACAACTCTCTACTTTTACGTTGAAGAAACGCTGCCCTGGCATCTTCTCTCAATTTCTGGAGCAGAACCTCTTCTTCTGAAGGTAACTACAAATTTTAAATAGATTGATGATCCATTTCAAGAACATGGCATTATCAGAGGCATAGCCATGGAAGGACTGGGGTCTGCCAGGGGTCGAAATTCCCGCTATTCCGAATATACTAAAATGCCTGACGGAATAGTAAACTTCATGATAGCCCGCGTGCAGGCCCGAGGAAAGAATAGTGGGCCTGCAAGCAAGGCCCGGTATTTTGTAAAACGCCCCTTTTCATAACACGCCCCATTCGCGCGTCAATTGTCAAAAAAGAACCAATGACAGCAACCCAAATATTAACAAACAAACTCGCATTAAAATGTTGCGGAGTTTTCTCTGCTTTAATATTCAAAATAGAAACAATGTGTAAATGGCTGTGTTTTAACTCCAAAAAATCAAGCAACGCAGTCAGTAATTGCCAAATTTAAAAGTGCTCATTTTCAACTAAAGTCGGAACAGGCAAATTACGACGAATTTCAACAAAAAACCAGTCTCAAACTTCAAATCGTGAGGGAAGTCGTGCGACCACATTAGCATTTAAATGTGTGCTTCGCTGTCGCCGTTGTTATAAATAAATTGTCTCACTTATCAGATCGTGTGTGCAATTCTTGTTGGCGGCGAAAAGTACGAATTTATTTCAGTTAAGTTATTTCATTTGGTAAAGAACTCTACAAAAGAAGAGAGGGTTCAGAGTCCAGATCGTTTCGTTTCAAACGGCAATTAATACCGTCTTCTGTTTCGCTTTCTCAGCGAAGCCTTGCAAATCGCAAAGTGTTTCTGATAAGCTTACATGGAACTGTCTGAGTCAACATCAATCAAAAGATAATTTTCTTGAGGAACATATAACGTATCAAGTCTGTTTGAAATTAATGTACCCCAGTCGTAATGTTGCTATTCCAACACTTCACGACAAGCAATCCCCATTGGCATAACGGCAAAAACATCTCTTCCTTCAAGTAAACATAAAACAGTCCGTTCTTGTTCCATATTTAATCGAAAACAGTGATCAATTTTCGAATTTTAAGCTTATCGAGAGCCCTTGTGATGAATCAGTGATCTAATTATAGAATCCAACAGCAAACAGCCAATCAGAATGCCGCGTTCGTGGGCGAACGCGAAAAGTACAAAATACCGGGCCTTGCTTGCAGGCCCACTATTCTTTCCTTGGGCCTGCACGCGGGCTAACTTCATGATCACAGTATTCCGTTTGTATAGTAGAAAAAATTGTGGTACCAAATATCGACAAGCAAGGGTTTTCCTCTTGTATAATATATCACTTTATACCGGACTTTGAGCCACTGTTCTACTTCGTAGCTAAGTTCTTGTTCGCTTGTAATACTTGCATATTCTAATTTCTTTGCACCAACATTATTGTTGATTTCAAGTCACTTTTCAACGCGCGGTTCCCAAGTTCGTTGCGAACTTGCCAATTACGTTTCCAAGTTCGGAAATTGGGCGCGAACTTCACAACATTTAAAGTTCGCAAGTTCATTTCAGTGTTTGAACTTTGTTTTTTATTAATAATTTGTTCATGACTGTACAGAGCAATGCACTGTACGTGTTTGTTATTCAATTATTCAGTTCACTTTAGGAGTCTCAAGGATGATTTCACGAAAATCAGAACATTAGTGCGGACCCTGCATGAACAGAAACAGTAGGCTACATTAAGGAATAGTGGATTTTCAGACGGAATAGTAAATATAAAAATCTACTATTCCGGCTGTATAGTACAAAAAAAATTAAATTTCGTCCCCTGTCTGCACCCCCCACCCCGCCCACCCCCTCAGGGCCACCGAGGGGGGGGGGGCAAATTGCCCCTAGAATTTTTTGTTGGGCCCTACTCATTTTTTTGGGTTAAATATTTCCGCGCAAAGGGCAAGAGATTTGGTTTTTTGGGCAAAGTACTGAAAATTGGTATGAAAAATTGAGGTAAAGTCGCTGGAAAGCAATTGCAACGTACTCGTCCGGAAATAATGAAAGTTAAATTCAAATAATGAAAGTTATTGTTGTTTTTAAGCGTTTATTAGCAAAGTGGGAATGACCAACATGGCCGCCATCTATTCAAATGGGGGTAACCGCTGGAATATTCTTGGCTTCAATTTTACTAAAAGAAATGCGCTATCTAGTATATATATGATATCTATGGCTACAACCTTGGGCGTAAAAATCTTGATTTGTGGCTGCCTGACAATTAAGTGTGACTTTGAAGCAGAATATTATAAATACCTTGTAATAAAATCTTGGGATAGCTGCAGATGGGTTGTCTTTTTGTCTTGCATTCTTCCATTTTAAGAAATATTTATTGAATAATTCAATATCATCTTCATCTTTCTTCTGGTTACTTCCAGGTTGCTCTACAAAAAGAAACACGAAACAATTCAATAAACTGACACAAATACAGTGGACCGATCCAATCTAATAATAATGCACTTTATTTTCATTGGGTGACAGCTGCCTTTACACAAAGTAATTTTCGCACAGGCACAACCAATCTAATAACAATTGCTTTGCTGCAGGGATAAGCTGGATCTGGATACTGTCACAGACATCTGAACGAAGGTCAAAGCAACAAAATACACGAAATATACTAATTTGGTATATTCACCCAGATTTGTTCACTTTAAAGCTCCTCAAATACTTCTTATCTCACCAAAAATATGATTTTGATCTTGTAATATACTGGCATACACTTTCAATGGCAGAATGCGGGCCATATATTTTTCGATAGCTGGAGGCAAGCACACAAAAATACCTATCATGTGACCACTTTATTCTAGGGCGGGGTTGCTTGGAAAAAGACCAGACTAACAGTTCTTTCTAAGCACGAGGCATGCCTCCTTGATAGTAAAATTATCTGGCATTTGACTCTGAAGAAAATAACAAAATAGGGCTGATATGACCTTCGCACAAAAATTAGGTGTGTAATTCTGTCTGAAATTTATTCAAGTATGATCATAAGTTTGTGTTGTTTAAATTAAAACTGCCAATAAATAATATGCAACAAATACAAGTTGTACAGACACAATTAACAAAATAGTTAAGTGTGCTGTCTGTGTGCAAAGTTATCAGTGAACTTATAGTGCTTGCCTGTTTGTCCTGGGCAAGTAAAAATCATTACGGGCACTATAGAAGTTGTTTCTTGGTTGCCCAGTGGGACAAGTTGTTTTGCCAGAAATTACAGTCAAACCAGATGTTCTCTTGTAAGCAACATTGCAATATTGTCCCACAAGATTGCAATTTTGATACGCAGATTGCTCAGAGCAATTTGCAAGCGTACGCGAACAAATTGCAAATTGAAATTCACAAAAGATTTGTAAACAAAGCCTCTGATTGGACTATTATTAGCAAAAAGGAAGCCAATCAAATAGTCTGAGCAACTGGATTGGAGCTAGCCTGCGAACAGGCTCACTGGGAGAAAGGTGAGCCTGCACGGAACCATGCGTTTTATTCAATCATCCCCTTTTCGCATCTGCTAAAAGCGAACCAATCAGCGTCGACTGCGATAAATAAACTGTCAACTGTCAAATTGACGCAAGGCGTGTACATTGTGCAACGAAGAAATACTGAATATTAAAATGTATACATAATGTATATGAACAATAATACAAAGCATTAGCGGGCCGCACAAAATATTACTCGGAAAAATATAGAATTCTTCAAATATTAAATAGATATCAATACACATGCAAATATAAAGCCGAATAAAATACTACCACTGGCATTGAATCAATGTACAGTAATACTTCTACTATGTGCGACTGAAAGAACAATGTTCTGAATATTTGAAGCTATTACTAAAGTAACTAAAGTACGGTCAGATAGATTGGGATTTGGAATACCGAATACGTCTAAAATTTTACTAACTGTGGTCTAAATAAATGATAAATGAGCATGTATTTAATAATTTCTTCGAAATCACGAGTGTGCCAATAGTGGAAGCATAGTGGTGGAAGCCGTATCGACGACGAAATTGTCAGCAGTTTATACAGTAAATAGTACAGCGTTTAATGTACGATATATATTTATATTTAAATGACATGCCAGCGAGGATCAACAATATAATTATTCGTACATATTTGGGTATCTTTTGTATACCTTCGCTTGCTGACTTGCTCACTAATGAGAATAATCCGTGAAGCCACGACGACCTCAAAATGTACTATACTATAGTCTGATGTCAATCCGAAGACGAAGTTCAGAATACTGTAAGTTATAGTTTCGTATATATTGGATTTAAGCGCTATATTCAAGTCATTTATGATAGACTTTTTGCTGTGATGCTTTGCCATTGCTTTTGGTTTCCATTTCTAGTTTTATTTGTTCGATAGTCTTATAATATATATTAAAATGAATAAAGTTCAAATTCTTCAAAATGCTGTTGTTGACATTTGCTATTTTTAGTAATTTTGTCAACGAGTGTAAGCCAATCAGAAGCCTGCGTTTCTATACGAACGCCACTACCAAGAAAACCTATAGTTCCGTGCAGGCCCTCTATTCTTCGCGCCGCCCATAACCTAGGGCCTGTTCGCAGGCTAGATTGGAGCTAATCCCTTTCCCTTATAGTCCAATCAGAGGCTATGTTTACAAATCTTTTTCAACTTGCAATTTGTTCGTGTTGCTTGCAAATTGCTCAAAGCAATCTGCCTATCAAACGAGAACATCCGATTTGACTGTAATTGCGCCACAAAATTGTTTGCTTGTTTATGTTATGGATTCTGTTTTTCATGCTTTATTAGTATAAAATCAGATGAAATCAACACTTTGTGTACCCTGGTCCCAGCAGCTCTTTGCGAGGAGAAATCTTTGCGAGGCTAATGAATTGAGAGGCAAGAAGGAATTAGAGCCTCTGGTCACATCGGTTGCAAATCCCACTTACACACTTGACTAGATTCAGAATTTGAATCTCGCATGCGATTGGCGATTTGTAAAAATATGTCAAACCGGTTTGGGAAAACAACAAGGTAATTATAGCTTTTATAGCTATAATTAACTTACAGTAATATTCTTACAGTAATGAGATTTGCAACCGATGTGACCAGAGGCTCTTCCTTCTCACCTCTGACCTCTCCTTTCTTTCGCCTCGCAAAGAGCCTCTGGAACCAGGGTACACTTCATGATTAGTCTTCAAATGACTTTGTTAAGGAAAACATAAGATTAAAATGCTGATTAAGCAATCCTGCAATCATTTGCTTCAAATTTTGCTTATTGGTGAGGACAAAACTGGACCTGATGGAAACTGGAAAGTGAATTTTATTCTGGGCAATTATAATAAGCACAAATTTAAAATAGTTATGGGACGAAAAGTTCTTGCCCTACTCTGTAGTTCGGGCTATAACCCTCTTAACTGAGTGTATTCGTCGATAATCTACAATGGCTTCACTTAGCGTGCTAAAATCAGCCAATTTTGAAGGTTTGCATAAAACTCTCAATTCAAAAACGGGAAACCAGCACACATTTTGCCTCGATTTTCACAGTTTTCAACTCACCGAGCCTTGATTCATCAAGTGATTTCTTTAGTTTTTCAACCCAGTCCATAAAAAGCTTTTAACTTTTGATTTTTTGACCAAAAACAAGCAAAAAATCTCATCAAAACAATCCACCATAATATGTATTTTTGGCCACAAATATTTGAATAGCCCGCACACGGGCTGTGCCTTCCACTTTATAAAATTCAAGAAACCTCACTTTCAAAATTCAAAATTTTTATCGAACGAATTTTGAATGAATTTATGAAAATATTTTTAAAAATTACAATATATTTTAGCCCTTTTACAAAATTTCCAAATATTCTAGAAGAATTTAATAAATATCACTCACACCGACAATAGCAATTAGCAGTCAAATGATCAACCCATTTGGCAATTTTAATCAGACTGACCAGCATCCGCCTCGCCCCCCTGACAGTGGTTCACGCACATTTATTTCTTTAAGAAACGAATATTCTATCAGGGGGGGTGTTCACGTATATTTTTAAACATTTAATCAATTTTAATATATGCTGACACGTTGGCAATGCTTGCTAGCTGCAGGCAAATATTTACTGAATATTACCCTCTAAAGTGGGCAATATACATTTATGTACGCCTAAATCGAGACACAATATAGGCAATTGTTTCCTTCGCTTGTCACTTGGGGAATTTAAGTGAATTCTGTTGCACAAATATCATTTTGGCGAAATTCGGCATGACCGCGTACAAGGGTGTCACATTACTTTTGTTGGTATATTTTTGGAATATCTCTGTAGCGCACGGAGAACTCGAAAGTCCAGGGAAAAAGTATGAAAGACCGCCGTGGTATATCGGCCTGTTTTGGAATATGCTTGGCTATGCGACTGTCATCGTGCCCGGTGCTATAATTATCCGTCTGGTAAAAAATTCCAACTTTAATGAGAGCGCAGGTAATAATATGGGTTAATTTGTAACTTATCAATCGGTAACCACATAAGTTTGAATATCAAGAAATGTAATTGTGGTGCTCAAACAAAGTTTGATTGGAATCGTAAGCTCTTTGAATCTTTGATTAAATCTTGTGTTGTGGTCACCATCAACCGTTGGTCGGACCTCTACTCGAGATCTTAAAATATTTGAGGAGAATATGCTACCTAAAGCCTGGCTCACATATATAGCTGCGACGTACCGGCCACGATGCCGATGGTAGCTTTAAAACATAAATTATGTGAACATTTGTTTGCCGATTGCCTCCAGTGCCACATTTACATTGGTGGTATGCCGGGGAAGTTGATGTGGCTTAACTTTGCCAGTATTTCGGCGGCAAGTAGAGGCATAATGATACAGTCGCAGGCATATGTCAACCAGACTTTACATTGACATCAGTAAATGCATCTTTTCGTGTAAGGCGTAAAAAAAAATACCTGTGGTTCCGGTTCCTGACCGACCCTATTTTTTTCTGCCAACCCTATTATTTTTTCAACGCGATTGACCGTGCGACCCTATTTTCTATGGGTGTTTGTGGGCTGCTGCCAAAATGGCATCTGTTGTCACACTAATTATTGAAAAAACCATGAAAAAAATATTTAAAAAAAAAATTATTTCCGACCTACCGACCCTAATTTTTTCGCGAAATGAAACCAGAACCACAGGTATTTTTTTTAGGGCAATTTAGCCTGTTGGGAAATCTTCTCACCAATGAGTGAGCAAAAGCCAAAGCCTTGCTATTTGATTCTGAACAAACTAACAGACTAACAAATTCACCCTCTGATTATAAAGTCATTCTAAGGAATATTAAATATTTTGATTTGCCAAATTAAATGGCTAAGACAATTACAACTTTGGACGTAATTAACAGATGATGTTAATTTTTTATTTGTCTGCCTAATTTCCCGTATTTATATTGAGGCCGTTAATACAACCAACTTGTATACAACCAACTTGAGTTGTACTGTGTTTATCAAGCGAACAACTCACCTATGACAATGTGCACCCTACTTTATTATTTATACTCTGTCTAACGCCAGATAATTTTAATTGTCAAGGGAAGATCGCTGGCGCTCAGTGGATTAATACAATGCAGTCAACACCATTTGTTTTTTTTGCCTTAGGTCGAGGCTTTCTCTTCAACGTTCTTCAAATCTTTGTGCATGGACGACCAGAGGAGAAACGGAGCTTGGAAGAAGGTCCGGTCAAGGGCCCCACAGATGGAAAGGAAACATCTATATTGGGTGTCACCGCGGCAAAGTTGATATTTTGCGCTGTAGGTCTGCAGGGGTCGTACCTGACCTGGGGGGTCCTACAGGAACAGATCATGACACAGAAGTACGATGAGCTCTCCGAAGACGGCACACTGCACCAAGTGAACTTTGAAGATTCGCAGTTCCTGGTTTTTGCAAACAGAGTCCTGGCGTTAGTTGTTGCGGGCGTGTACATATCCATCGCGGAGCAACCTTATCACACAGCGCCTTTCTACAAGTACTCGTACTCGTCGTTTTCAAACGTAATGAGTAGTTGGTGTCAATACGAGGCGTTGAAATTTGTCAGCTTCCCGACGCAAGTCCTCTGCAAAGCTTCGAAAATGATTCCAGTTATGATCATGGGAAAAATAATCTCAGGAAAAACTTACCCGTATTCTGAATATTTTGTTGCCGTTTTGCTTTCCTTTGGTACGAGCTTGTTCCTATTGTCACATAACGCTGACCACGCCCATCACGACCAACCGACAACTGTCGTCGGGCTTGTCATTCTTTTAGGGTACATGGTTTTCGATAGCTTCACATCAAACTGGCAATCTGCATTATTTAAAAAACACAAGATGTCTGCGATGCAAATGATGTTTGGTACCAACGTCTTCTCAAGTTTGTTTACATTTTGTTCACTCATACAAACAGGTGGTTTCCTTCGTTCGTTTTTGTTCATGTCGAAGCATCCCCAATTTTTGTCGCAGATATTTGTCCTGTCAATGACGTCAGCATTTGGACAGTTGTTTATATTCTACACAATCAATGCTTTCGGTCCCATCGTGTTTGTGATAATCATGACAGCAAGAATGATGTTCAGTATTGTGCTATCCTGTTTCATTTACAAGCATACCCTTGCATCTCAAGCCATTTTCGGCATCGTCATTGTCTTTGGAGCCATATCGTATAGAACCTACTTGAGGTACAAAGCATCGAAGGAAACAGACAAAGTTTCGACTCAAAACAAATAGGTGTACATTATTTGACTTTTTGATAATGAGTAGTTCTGTTAGCAATTTATCCTTTAATTACCGGCAGACAATTTCAAAATAAAAGATGAAACACTGAATATTAACATCTTGTAAACTCACGATTCGAGCCATTTAATTTCAATGTTGACAATGACTTTGGAATGAAGTTGAAATATTGCCTTAAATTTGTTATCTTGTTTAACCCCTTGAGCCACAATATGCCCTACTTATTTTTTGTACTTGTCTAAGTGTCTAATGCCAGACGATTTTACTCTTCGATGGGGAAGCTTTGCAGCTTAATGGATTAACCATTATAACCAATAAATCTGACAATCTGTCTCCAGTTAACCCATTGAGCCGCAATGTGCCCCAGTGCGCCCTACTTATTTTAATTTTTTTTACTTGTCTAACGCCAGACGATTTTACTCATCAATGGGGAAGCTCTGCAGCTTAATGAGTTAAATAATTAGACAGCTCCATTCTTAAGTTTAGCGTGTTTCACTGTGGAAAATTAGCAGGTCATTTCAATTCTGACATTGTTTTGTGTGACTTGTGGAGATAATAGCTGAAATAATACAATTTGCATGGCTGGGCTTAACAAAAAATATTGTGTGGCAGGGTCTGAAATTTGCAGTATCCCAATATCCATGGGATACTAAAATTTGGTTTTGGATACCAAACTGTAAATGACTTATATCCCAACTGGATACTGAGAAAATTTCAAACATTAGGGAAATGTTAAGCAGCTCTGTAATTGTAACATTGAGAGTCATGGAAACTTATTTGAATGGTATAATACTAGTATCCAGAAGTGGGATATACCATACTAAACTTTGAATCCTGGTATCCCATTTGGATACTGAGAAAAAAATTTGAATTGCAGACCATGTGTGGTTCCACTTTTGTATTCTGAAAAGAATCGTGTAGGTATTTGTTTTGAGTGTCTGTTTGTATTGCCACAGCACACAAACATTTCAAGAAGCAATAAACTCTAAAGTTTAGATGTACTGTAAATAATTGTTGTATTAAAGAATAATGTTTAATTAATAAAATATTTGATTCAATCATATGTTTTTACTAACCCATTCTAATCTTGTAACCTAGATAGACCGCCTAAACCAGGAGCTGTTGAGCTGTTCTATAGGCCCTCTTGCGGTGCAGCGCTCTAAGTCTCTAACAAACTCAGCTAAAGAGAGACAGTTGTCGAGCTCTAACCTCAAGTTCAGTGTATAAATACTGTGATGCCAATCACGGTGCACGAGTCAATATCAGGTTTTGGGCATCAAACTTTACAGAACTAATTGTCGAAGGGATCGGAAATCGACAACTGTCTCTTTGTAGCTCAGTTGATTATTAGAGAAGGGCAGCAGGCTCTCGGCTATGCCTCGTGTTTTACACGCTTCTCTCGTATTCTCCCGACATTCCCTGTGTGCATTATCACACCATAAATGCATGTGCCTCGTACTCACTGGAAAGTTTGGAAATTGCGTGGCCGAGATTTCGTAAATTTAATAGTAAATATATAGAAAGCATCAAAATTGTGTGGGCGATATCTCGCCCGCACGGTATTTAAACTTTCCACACTGGTCCTCGTCTTAGCTATTTCATAACTTACGTTTTTTATTTGGACTGCGGAATAAAACAGTAAACTTTGTTTTTGATGTATTGATAGATCATTTGTTTACGTTTAACCATTCAGCTATTTTGCTTACTTAAATTGTTCTTTACGCATAATAAGTTGTATTTGAAAAGCACAGTATTGTCAGTATTGGATTGGACAAAATTAGCATTAACTGCTTTGAACTGGACTACCCATAATACACATTACATAAAGTACATACCTAACCACACGACAGACAGGCGCAGAAAAAACAACATGGCGGACAAAAACAACCATTTCGACGACTATCGCGAACTTTCCCCTGAAAAACTACACAATTTAGTACACTGTTTTGTCCAAATCACGCTTTCTGAAGGCGAGAAATTACAAGGCTGGGTATACACTATAGATCCCGTTTCACATACCATTGTAATTGCAAAAGACGACGACGAAAACGATGCCGCAAGGCACGCTTCTGACACAAGGCCGATTGTATTTGTCATGAGCAAGGCGGTAAAAGATCTTCGTGTCGTGGAAACCACAAGAAAAGAACCGGAATGGCTAAAAAACTTCGCCGTAAAAGAGCAACAGAATTTCACAGACGATGAGCTGCAAAAAAGAAAAGCAAATCTCATTGAATGGTTGAAGAAAAATCGCGTGCCAATTCTTGATAACTCTGCAGAAACGAAAATCGTGAAAGTCCTTGGGGGTCTGGTAATAGAGCCTCCTTATGATGTGGATTCGTGTAAAGGGACAAATGAAATAGTTTTAGAGAGAATTAGGAAATTAATTAGTTCAATGCCTGACGGTTGAGTTAAATATAGCAGTGAGACTTTTGTAAATTAAAAATGTAAAATCTCCATGTTGAAAAAGATTCGCTTAATTTATTATAACATTTCAACAAACTGGTATTATTAGCTCGCGGGTCACAACGTTTGAATATTTCATTTTTTTATACGTTTGACTGGAATTTGCGAAAATGTTCCACTGTAGCAGCAAATTCCAGTTATTCGAAAAACTAATTTTCTAAACGTTTTAACTCGTTATGTATGTCCATGGATTGTAATCCATGGCATGTCTAAACAACACAATGGACCTTTCCCCTTATAACTAAAATTTTGATCTGGACAAAAATTTCATCACAGCTTGAAAGAGCATCACAAAATTAGTAATATTCCAAAGTTTCTTTGCGAAATGTTGTAAAATGTGGATAATATAGCCTTGCGAAATTTGCCGTTTTTCAGTCATTTTGTATTACGCACGGGAAATTGACATGCCCAATCGGGTGTTGGGGCATCAATTTCCCGTTTGTAATACAAAATGACTGAAAATTGCAAATTTCGCAGGGCTATATTATCCGCATATTACCACATTTCGCAACGAAACCTTGGAATATTACTAATTTTGTGATGCTCTTTCAAGCTGTGATGAAATTTTTGTCTAGACTTGTCTAGATCAAAATTTTAGTTATAAGGGGAAAGGTCCATTAATGGCTCAACAGACTCGCTACAAATTGCCCGTCAGCGGATCGCTTCGTTAATCGTTGCGCGCTATGCTAATTAGATGACGTCATAAACAGTTTTATTTTCTTCACGCGCATTATACGAGTTTTATGCCAACTGTGTCTCAGACTCGGTATATTTCAATCTGAATATATTTAAAAGAAAAACAATCTTTGAATCGAAATGGCATCGAATGTTGTCCAAGAAAATAATGAAGAAAATGATATTTCGTCACATAAAAACCCGGAAAAAGTTTCGCAGTTGAAATTTGAAGTAGACGCACTCACTCAAGAAAATAGCGAACTTTTTTTGCTCCTGCAAAACGAGAGACGAAAAACAAAACTGCTACAAAGCGAGTTGGAACTCGATAGCCAGCAAGAAAATTCGTGGGAGAAAAGCACGAACGAAGACACCGCCATTACGGCTGGAAATGGCGAAACATCGGAAACGTTTTTACAAAACGTTGTTTTAATGCTGAAAGAAAAGTTGGAGTCGAAGGAAAGCGAATGTGAGGAGTTGGAAGATAAACTCTCGGTGATGAATCAAGAGCTCGCCTCACAAGGGGAGGAACTTGCTCGTGCTACGTTGCAATCTGAATACCAGATAAAACACCTTCACCAGTTGCTGGCACAAGAACGAGACCTCAATAGTCTTTTAAGCGACGAAAGTGATCAAACCGTACGTGAACTGCAAACAATAATCCATGAAAAAGATGATTTAAACACAGAACTTAAAGTTATCAAAGATGAAACGTCCGAACGAATGCAAAATATCGAAGAAGAATGTCATTTTTATCAGACCAAACTTCGCGATACTGAAAAACAATTAAGTAGTATAGTTAGCGAACACGAACACAAAGTTGTTATAGAAACGGACAGCGTTTCGTGTCAAGTTAGTGAAAGCGAGCTGCACGGGTTTCAAGAACGTGAGCACGCGTTACACGAAAGCGATGAATTTTATGCAGTATTCATGGCTCTCTGGGGAAGTGGTGATATAGTTATGAATGGACTTGGTGTGAATCGGTATAAAATGGATATCTTCAAATTGATTCGAAATGGCTTCAGAAAGCTTAGAGAAAACGCCTTGGTTTAAATTTCTGTCAAGAAAAAACATACAGAATAGCGTTGTAATTTTAAAAATACTGATGCATTTACAAATTTGTTATTTACTAAACTAAATTTTAAAATATTGATATTTATATTGTATGTTCAATTTTCACTAAAAGCGTGGCGAATTGTGCATTCTTTTATAAAATTAATTAATTTGATTAATTTGTTTTGAACTATCTACGTTTATGTTTCACATATGATATACAATTAGATTTGCCAATAAAAATTCATAATAAAAATTATTTTGGGAATTAGGAGATTTTTCTTTACTTAGAAATTCTAAGATTTTGAAATGACAAATCTAATGCGACTGGATATTAACTACATGTCATTGCTTAATCACATATTGCTAGTCAGGCAGATAGAGGATCAAAATTATGGAAAACTTACCATATCGTGGGACAATTCCATTTTGCCTTCATATTGTGCTCTGAAGGCTAGTAAGTACGTTTCTGTATGTTGGCCGCGTTAAAATTTCTTGTGGGCTCCTGCCGACACGTTTTTCTTCGAATTTTGTATGTACTATTTACAACATGAGCGGCCGTGTTGTATCGGACGACTTAAAAAACGACTCATCTTATGAGTTCATTGGAGAGGTAATTTTAAAAATAAACGTTGTTTAAGCCGAGAAAATCAAAGTTAAAGTTTATGTAAATCAACATGAATCTGTATCACATATACAGATACGACACGCTTATGATTTTTCTTTGTGTTTTCTTCATGAATTATTAATGAGTTTTTTAAACTCTATTACAGTTAAAAAATGTGAAATTTCAAATACATTTCTAATACAAATGACTTGCATCAATAGAAAGCTAACAAAAAACTAGATATAAGACATTTAAATGGATAGTCGGGATTTTCAAGCGGTTTTCGAGTTATTGCCGTTTCAAATGTGAAACTTACGCCAAAATCTCGCAAAATTCCTGGGTACTAGTCTGAAAACACGCATTCAACAGCTCATAACTCAAGAAGAACGTGAAGAACCCGGGTAACCGTTTAAATGTCTTATATGTAGTTTTTTGCAAGCTTTCAAATGAAGTAAGTCATTTGTGTTAGAAATGTATTTGAAATTTCATATTTTTAACTGTAATAGAGTTTAATACCAAATTCGATGAAAAACGTGTCGGCAGGAGCCCACAAGAAATTTTAACGCGGCCAACATACAGAAACGTACTTACTAGCCTTCGGGGCACAATATGAAGGCAAAATGGAATTGTCCCACAATATCGTAAGTTTTTTCCTTCTATCTGCCCGACTCTACCCAATTATGTTGCAAAACAGTTGTGACAAAGCCGGGTTCACATTTAGCAATTTTGTCGGCGATTTTTCTCCTCCTGGCAAATGTGATCAAATGAATGACATGCAAAAGACTCAAAATTGTTTACTTCTGAAAAGCGACTCCATACTTTTGTGTGCGAGTTCACTCATTTACATCCGTCAGAAACATAAAATCGCCGACAAAATTGCTAATGTGAACTAGGCTTAAGGCATGCTTATCCGAAAATGTAACTACGGCACTTTTCGTTGAGCGCATGTCGTGATATCTGGTGCTGGTGGTGTTGAACTCGATCTCAGGTGATCAATATTTTGCTGATGTTACTCTTAAGAATGGTTTACACTATCAAAGTTTCTGTGATCACAGTAGGAATTTTGCATAGGTAAATTCTAAGTTTTGAAGGGTTTGTAAGAAATGTTTAAGAGGGAGCCGACTCAGTGTCGACACCGAAATTCATCTGTGATCACAGAAATTTTAATAGTGTACCGTAAACCTCCGAATATAAGCCTTAGGCCCATAGTAGTTCGTAAGCATTTTTGATGGGCTAGCTTATGCATGGGGGTGGGACTTATATGCGGGAGAGCTTGTTACGAACGACATTTCATGTTGGTAATAATATTTATTGTACCTGTCAACCATACCGTGAACGAAAAGGAACATAAACATACAGTATATACTGTAAGTTATAATACTACAATGTAATTCGTGTCACTAATCTGGACTGTTGGAATCCCCATAATAATAAGCCCATGAGCTTATACACGGAGGGGCTTGTATTCGTTGGGCTTATATTCGGAACTGAGCCGTTAGTGAACATGGTGGGCTTATACACGGGAGGGTTTATACTCGGGTTGGGGGGCTTATTTCGAAGGTTTAAGGTTAATGCACTTTGTACTTATAGGTATATTTCCTTTATCAACAAACCAATCCCAATTGAGTATACTCGCCATATTGAATCATTTCGACTCCATTCTTCGAAGTACTTCGGCCGGTAGCGCTTCAAAAAACATGAGCACGCTTCCTCGAGCGTAATTCACCGCAGAGTCCAGGCTATCAGTTGTTTCAGGCTGCGGGGACTTTGTTCTTCCAAAAGGACTCCTCGAAACGCGACTCGCTCTTTCTGCGTTTCTCGCTGGCGTGGTCTGCATACCTGGAGCCGGCTTAATTACGTCATTATTAAGACGGCAGACATGTTTCCCGCGACCTTCCCGCGACAATGCGGTCTCCTGCACTTTTCTTCCCGAAACGGCGACGTAAAATTTTTCCGTACCACACGGCCCGGGGCCTGGCACTAGCGTGAGGGTGCGCACGTGATCATCAAACAACTTCAGTGACGTAATCAGTTCGCCGGAAGCGACGTCAGCGATGAGTAATTTCCCGCCACCGGTTCCAATCCACACGGTGCCAAGAACTGGCAGGACACACGTGACCGCGGACTCGAGTAGATCGCAGTCGGAAGGGGAAAAGAATGATTTACAATTGATTTCGATTGTTTTCTGTCTGGTATTTATATTCCAAGCGGTGACAATAGAATCACCTTTCGAAACGCACCAAATATCGGATTCGTGGAGTACAATTTGAGAGAATGGCGCAGAGGAGGCGCTAAATCGAACGGAGTTTAGCTCGTAGACTGGAGCTTTTTCGTTTTCTTCGGCTTGAAAGATTTGTATACATTTCCCCGCCGTGAACCAGAGGTATTCGTTGCCCACGGCCGCAACACATGTGACTGCTTCCGAGTGGCTGATCTCCATAGATAGGATGGTCTTAGTTCGCGACGTGACCAAACAGACACCGCTGGACATCCCTAAGAAGATGTAGGATTCGTTCGAGCTTAGACAGAACACTGGCTCCCCTAACGTGATTTTGGCTTTGAGTTTATACGACTCAGCTTCGTAGATGGCGACTACATCCAGATCCCCACGTAAGCCAATCAGGACCTCCGTCGCAGTCACGTGCATACAGTTAACTTGCAGGCATAAAACCGGCTCGTTTGTGCTCAAGCGATTGATGGTGAAGGTCTTTTTCAAACACCAACTTTGCAGGTCGTAAACGAACACCGTTGTTGTTGTTTTGTCGTCAACAGCTACCCATAGTTCCATGGTAGATTGGACCAGGCACACGTGACGCACAGATTGCGGGCAGGGTAGGGCTATGACACCTAAAGTAAGGCAAGGCAAGGCAAGATAAGGTAAATTGTATTTCAAACACTCATTAATAATTCATAAGCTTATTGGCAAATCATGTCAACCATAATATGTCACGTGCAGTGGCTTTAAACCTGATAAAACACTCCTAATTAGTATTCTTTATATAAAGAATACTAATAAGGCAGTATCTATTGTAGTCATGCCCTCATTAGTATTCTTTATATAAAGAATACTAATAAGACAGTATATCTATTGAATTTGTAGTCGTGTTTGAAGCCGTTTAATAAACTCGCAGGTCGTGTTTTATTAGGTCTAAAGCCACTCGCGCTGCGCGCTCGTGGCTTTAAACCTAATAAAACACTCCTGCTCGTATAATTCATTAATAATTCATTAATAATTCATGAAGAAAAGACCAAGGAAATCACTGCCATGTCGGTTGTTTTATATGTGATAAAAAATCATGTTCATTTACATAAACTTTAGCTTTGATTTTCTCTGCTTAGACAACGTTTATTTTTAAAATTACTTCGCCTATGAACTCATAAGATGGGTCGTTTTTAAAGCACTTGTAGTTGTGCTTTATCAGATACAAAACACTCGTGTTTTATATCCAGGGCCTATCATAGAAATTCGGGGGCCCGGGCCAAAATTTCGGGAGCCCTATTTTGTCCAAAAAAATTAAAATTTTCCTAAAATTAAAAAGGGTGAAAAAAAATTTTCCGGACTAACATCAGTTAAGTTAAGGTTCAAATTTTTTCTCCGACAAATTCTTGTTAAATTACATTGGTAAAACCCTTTTTTGGTACCAATATCTGCAAAATTTAGGTTTAGACCATTAATTATTTCATGATAGGCCCTGTTTATATCTGATAAAGCACTCCTGCTCAAGATTTAAATAGTACATAGCTAAGTATATTACAATTATCAGGCCAGTTTCACGTACCAGCATGGTCAATAGAACAAGGTTAGGAAACTCTATACAGACAAAATAGACTTCATTATCTATGTTGTCTTGGTTTATGCAAAAAAATAGTTGGTTCATCGTCACGTGTGCATTGTTTGTTCGCCCAACCAACCAATAGCACTGTGTTGGTTTATTTACCCAGTCGTGGTATTACACAATGGTTCAATGAAAACATAGCTATTGGTTGCTCTTGCGAAAATACAATACACACGTGACGATGAACAGATCATTTCTTGTAGCAAGTCTGCCAACAAGCCGTCAACAAGTTGTGTTCGCACTGCTTGTCCCAAATTATCAACAAGTTTGGAACAAACTGTAAACGACTTGGAACAACCTTGTTGATATTATCGGACTTGTCGCAAGGTTGTTCCAACAAGTCCGATACAGTCATGATATAACAATATTGTTACAAAGTTGTGTCGTCATACCTAGAAATAGCTGGAACGACGTTGACCGCAGTTGCTCGGCAACTGTACTGGAGCTATGTCTCGAGTTAGGTTCATATGCCAGGCAACTGTCCATCAACCAAGTTAGGCCCGCAAGCCCGATGCGGGCTGGAATGACGTCATCATACTCAGGCCTTCTGCCCGTAGCGACCATATTATTCACCTGCAAACACATCGCAACCAATTTAGCACGCGTCGTTGCGAAGAGGATAAAAGAGACCTTACGATTTTAGAACGGCAACCGCGACGGCGACGGCCAAAACAAACTCCTTCAAATAAATGGTAGTCGATAGTTCGTCGTATATTATCAATCGTATGAATTTAATACAGTCTTAGAAGTTGAAGACATGGGTTTTATGGTTGGGAAGAGTTCTGCTAAACCCCGTTTGAAGTTGCACTTGTTGTGGCTTGAAATGCAGCCGTTGTATCAACACGTGAAAATCTGTGATTTGGCGTTGTAAACAGAGCGAGGACAATGTCTAAATTATTCATATATTGTAATTACTCAATTCTTCTCAATGATCTATTGTATTGGTAGCCGTTGCCGTCGCGTTGCCGTTCTAAATCGTAAGGTCTCTATTGATTTACACAGTACAACCCAAGTTGTAAGCAGGTTACATGCGACAGTTTTAGGCAAAAGTTATGTAGTCTTAAATCCGCCTTAAAAGAACAACAGGGAGTTTAAAATTACCGACTACGTTTGAAATAGTTTTTTATTGTATGTATACAAATACTAAATGCATGTTATCACAAATTTATCCCAAATATAAGGTGCATGGCTTTGTGTTTCGTAAATATCATCTTTTAGGTTTTATCAAGTACTTAATAAAAATATACTGCCCAACATGCAACGTTGCGTGGTCAGTTGCGGTGCTACGTTCTTGATTCTGTTTTACAACACAAGAGTATGATTTTGACGTTGTAGTCAAGGTCGCTACGGTGAAAAGTATGTAAATTCTGTTTGTCTCAGTTGAAGTATAATACTCAACCATATACTCAGTACCCTGTGTTAGTCATAAATTATTTCAAAGAAGATTTATAGAAACAAATATATACATACATACCTCGGCCGAAGAGTTTACACAAAAGAAAGGATGTCTGCGACTAATGAAACCGTATACCAACATTCCTAGTGCAAATATATCAACTTTTTCATTATAGCCAGTTTTCTTACAAAATTCTTTCAGCATCTCCGGCGCGTGATACCCAGGGGTTCCCACGAGGTCTATCAAACCTTCGTTGAAACGGAACGCAGCCGTTCCGAAATCCGTCAGCTTGATGTTTATATCGTGATGCTCTTCGTACGACATGACCAAGACATTCTGCGGCTTCAGATCACGATAAGTTATTCGGAGAGTATGTAAAAAATTCAACGCCTCTGCAACTTGGTAGAGCATGCGATACATAACCACACGCTCGATTTGAAATTGCGGATTAAACAAGGTCTTCGCAAGGCTGCCTTCCATCGCAAGCTCCAGAACAAGTCGGAAAGGGCGTAGGCACACGCCGATGAGGTTTACGAGGTACGGATGTTGCTCCGAACGTCGGAGTATGTTGACTTCGTTACGAACTTCACAGTATTTGTTCATTGCATCTTCTTCGCATGTTGGCGACGAGTATTCTTTGATTGCGGCGTTTTTTCCTCGACATCGGCCACGGTAAACTTTCCCAAAAGCACCTTATAACAAAACAATGATTATGTTGTATAAAATTACATAATGATAAGCTTAAAAATAGTATTAGGGAGTGGTCATTATTTACCGGGGGGTGGCACAAAGAGAAAAGGGTTGGGTAAACAAAATTTTGAGTGAATAAAAGGTTGGGTAAATGAAAAAAAAATGATTTGAAATGCATATTAGTAGCGTGGTACACATTTGGTCGAAGAAAACAAAAAATACCGATGTATCCCTTCTTTTCCACTAAAAACCATTCGCAGATATCTTATTAATAACAAATTAAACTATAATTTTAAAATTTTCAATTAGTTTTGTTTTAAAATGCATGCGTTTGTTTTTTGGGAAAATAATGGATCGCTGAAAGTGCTTCTCAGCCAATCACAGTGCACCATTTCACCGGAAGTGATGCTTGCCATATAATAGAATGTCATATTTACCTTTTCCAAGCATGTTTGCATCTGATCTTTCATACTCCACATCATCTTCTTGCAACAACAAATCCGCATCAATATCATGGAGGACGACATCGGGCGCGATGTCTTGTATACTCACTTCATGCTCAGGGCACTTGACAAAATTTCCCATACTGTATTGCGTGACACAGGAATCGAACGTGAAGATATGTGGTCTGGGGTTGCCGTCTTTCTCACAACTTCGGCATGGGATGAATTTTTGAACGGTCTTCTCCGCGCCATATGACGTCAGAAGGCCTGGGTACCATTCTTTGATTAAGATGTCCAAGTGGTCGACGACGAAAGTCATCAGACGTCGGCCGAGGGGATTGGGGGAGACAGCAATTTCCACGACGACGGAATCCGACAGAGGCCGATACGCTACGACGATGAAGGCATCGGGATGGGCAAAACACACACCAGAACGCCAGCAATGTAAGACCTTCAGTTCTATCAGCTCGGCCACATCCAGGGGAAAAGTAACGAGTTGGTCGACTGCTACATTTTCCTTACACAAAGTACACTTTTGAGTTTCGACACTTTCCGATTTTGTAGCTCCAGTTTCTGGTTCTGGATCGATACCATCCGGTTGTTCGCCGACATTTTCCGGTTGTTCGCCGACATTTTCCGACTGTCCACCGACATTTTCCGATTGTCCACCGACATTTTCCGACTGTCCCCCAACACTTCCCGATTGGTCAACACCATTACCCGATTGACCTCCGGCACTTTTCGATTGTTCACCGATACCTTCCAATTGTTCACCAATACTTTCTGATTGTTTCCCGACACTTTCCGTGGGCTGAAACCAATGACCAGAATCGGTGACGTCGTCATATGCCGGGCTGTTATTTACTTTACTTGGATTGGCTTGTATATCTCCAGCGGTAAATACGTCATCTGTGGTAAAGCCAACATTATAGCAATTGCCGTTTATGTCATTTTGACAATCTTTACTGCAGTTCAGTTCACTCTTTGAGTTGTAGATATCCGTTTCGTCTGCAGAAGTTTTGTTATTCTGAAAGTCTTCTTTCCAGGGAAAACCGTTTAGGACAACAGTGCTATCAGTATTGGGTGGGATATTTGACTTTACTTGAGGGAGTTGGTCTTCGTCGACTTCAGTTTGTCCATGTTTTCCCTTAGTATCAAGGACTGTTTGATTATCCAAACTACTACTTGGTTCAAACTGTGTATCGGAGTATTCTTTTGGGAAATTGTCGACTGTTTTGAAGTGTTCGTTAGAGTTTGTAGTCGAGATACTAGATATAGATTCCGAAAATGCTTCACAGTCCGTGTCTGTAGGCTCACCACTTCTTATTGATGATGTCATGCTTCCATTTTGAGCCATGAAATTTCGTGAATCCATTTCGCCTTCGACCGTCTGTTCCCGAGAAGCGCTACGAGGCGGGGAACTGGTACTAAAATCCTGGCTGGTATTAGACGTGTGACTGTCATTGCTTGATACAGACGTTGTACCGATCTGTGCATTGTTATCAACAACACGCTCATTCATATTTTCTGAGAATGACTCATCTTCTAGGAAACTTGAGACGGTAGTCAGTGATGGTAGACCTTTGGTTTCCCTCCAGGATGAGAGACTGCAAACATCGCTACACGAGAGGTAGCTCGTGTTATCATCGCCAGATTCTACGGAACCAACTGTTGGTATTTTGATTGCACCTGTGGTCTCCTCACTCTTACTGGCTTCGGATATGTCTTCAATATTATCGACAGAGTCATCATCTATGATTATACTAACTTCATCAGCTGCCAGTATCTCGTCTGAGTGAACTCTATCTGATGTCGAACTCTCTACAATGTACTTCGGTTGGTTTTCGTTTCCCGTCGGATTTTGTTCGCCCTCTGTAGCGATTACACCGTTCTCTACTGGAACATCTTCGGTCAAATTCGGAACATTATCGGTCAAATTCGGAACGTTTTCGGACGAACTCGGAAAATCTTCGGTCATCTTCGGAATATCTTTGCTTTCTTTTAAAAAATCTTCGGTAGTCTCCGGAACAACTTCGCCCGTGTTTGGAGAATCTTCGTTCAAACCTCGACCAATTTTCCTTCTGGTAGAACCATCGTCATCTTTCCGATCGTTTCTACTCGTTTCGTTCCTTAATAAAGGATCAAAGTGTCAGACAAGTTGTCAATGGGCCCCGCCCCTTGCATATAACACTGACTCAGAAGTCACGATCCAGTGATCGGAATTTTCCATTGCCTTTCGTAGACAAGTTTTTGTTTACATTCGTTGGTACGCAATCACAACTTCGGACAAGTCACATGCCTGGTGACTATTGTTCAAATTTACAGAAACATAAAATGGGACAAACGTAACTAAGCATTAGAATTATGTATAAAAAGTTATTTACTCCGTAGTGGCGCGAAAAAGCACCTATCCGATACGGAATGTATAAATTTGAGGAGTTGAGCGAAACAACATCCCTCTGTTAAATAAAGTTTGTATGTTTTTGTATGTTGCAATAATTCCTCTGAACAATACCTTGATCTGTTCCCTGAACTGTCTGATAGGGTGCCGTCGAAGGAAGGGATACGTAAGTCTCCTATGCCTCTGCGGCGTTTCACACTTTCCTTTTTGTGGTCAGAAAATGAATCAGTCCTGCAAGCGAATTGAAGATTGGACGTTATAATAATATAATAATGGCTTTATTTCCCACATTTCAATAGCGGATACGCTAAATTATAATGTGTTTACAATTTAGTTCAACTACTTGTTAAAACTACAACTGATTCTAAAATATTACATGCATATACAACATTATATCTAAAATACGACTAAAATATTTCTAAGGTTCTAGGTTAAGATGATCGCCAATTACACTACTCTTAGATTCCAGACACAATCTGCCCACCTGACAACACAATTTCTTATTAGCATCACATTAACATTTTCAATTTAAAAACTACAGTTTTAGCCTATCGTTATATTTATCTATTGCATATACTAACGGACTGCGTTTAAATCGTTCAGTTCTGCAGAAGAAGTTATAAAATTTGTCCGGATTTGTTCTAGTTTCTCTTCCTTTTACCTCAGAGCATTTCCTAGGAAGCAATGAATGTAATTTGTGTGATGGCTCTGACATCTGCTTGATGAGACGAACACATAAATCATCTCTACGTTCCTGTAACGTTTTTAGTTTACATTCTTGAAGCGCACGATTATACTCATATTCAGGAACAATTATCCTCAAAGCTCATTATACGGTTATGCTAAAAGAACTCAAAATGTGGAAAGAAATGGACCAGGGACCATGTTGTGAACAACATGTCCATATCAGTGAACTCTATATTTACTGGAAGATAATACACTCTTTCGATAATTACGTCACAACTACACTGTTTCCAACTTAGGACCACCTTAAATGGAAAGGATTTCGAGTTTTTTTCTCATGGACTATGCACAAAGAAACAGAACATTCTTCTTCAACGCATGCATGAAAAATAATTCTTTATTTTGACCAATAAAAGTGGAAATAAGCTTTAACACGAAAACGAGGCTCCAAGTCATGACCTAGTTTTCGTGTTAATGCCTATTCCCATATTTATTGATCAAAATCCAAAATTTTTTTCATGCACGTGTTGAAGGATGTTCTGCTTCTCTGTGCATAACCCATGAGAAAAAAACTTGAAATCCTTTCCATTTAAGGTGGTCCTAAGTTGAAAACAGTGTAGTTGTGACGTAATTATCGAAAGGGTGTATTAACTTCAAATAATTCAAATGCCCTACAGTTGGGTAAAGTCAAGATGGCGGCCATGGAGTGGTCTCTTGTAGGTGTAAAACATGCGTGTATTTCGCGGGGACTAAAAAATATGACTGAGGTTTTTCGATCGATGTTTTTTCAATTTTTACACATAATTGCTCATTTTTAGTGGTAAACACCCTACTTGAAAGCTAAAACTTAAATGAAAAGGTAGGATTGATGCAATTACAGTTTTGTTTTTAACTCGTCAAATAACTTTGCTTTTTATGACAAAACGTTCCAACACTTTGTTTATTCTGAAAGACCTCTTGCTCTAGTTTCTTTACTTTCTTAGGGCCACAGTAACGCCAAACTTAAAAAAATAGTCGGCAAATTATGAAATTTCTACATGAAATGAAGCAGATTTTTCGTACTGAATTCAGTGAATTCCGCGTGGGCCTATGGCATACATACAAGACGCGTTTCAATTTCCGCCATCGTGGTTTCAAAAACAAAGCCGGAGTTATCGCTCCAGTTTTAATAGAGTTCACTGGCCCACATTTGGCAGTTCTCACCTGCGATTGTTATCCATAGCGGTGTCAAAATGGTTGATCACAATACGATCTCCATCCGTATCGTCCTGAAGCTCATCATCACTGAATATTTTAACACATGGATCAAGCAACAACGCTTGGAAATCATCGCTACCACCCAAACTACCAGAAAACATCGCTGGACCACCAGAGAAAGCATTGCCCTGTGATGGACTGTAGTTAGAGGTTGAAGGTTCTCTCCTTGAGGAAGGGACTTTCTCAGGGGGACCTTTTCGTGTAGATTCCTTTTTGCTAGGCTTTTTCTTCTTCGAAGATTCCTTTCTCGCAGAGCCCTTTTTCGAAGAGTCTTTCCTCGAAGGGTCTTTTCTCGAAGGGTCTTTTCTCAAAGGGTCTTTTTTCGAAGGGTTTTTACTCGGAGTACCTTTACTCGAAGGATCATTTCTCGTTGGGTCTTCTCTCGTAGGGTCTTTTCTCGCAGGGTCATTTTTTGTTTCAGTACTCGTCCCTGAAGCGGATGAGCCATTGGAACCCCCAGACGTCCTCCTTGATCCCTCAGACTTTCCACAAGTCTCCCACTCGGTGCCGTCCATAAAGCACGAAAATTTCCTTGTGCTAGTACCATCCACGCGCAGACAGGAATGGCAAAAATGGCCAAAAAACCCGTGTTCGCTGTCCTCGGCTTTCTGATAACGCGTCGCGTCGACGGCAATCATCTCCTTGACGTAGTAGAAGAAACGAGACATGAAACGTGGCCAGAACCCATGAATCCGCTGGTAATCGATCTTGTATACTCGTCTCACGGGCGCGTATGGTAACTGCAGCTTCGTGACGACTTCGGGTTCTTTCTCGGGAAGTTTCGACGGTACGAGAATTCTCGATGCATCAAGGAGGTACACGATTTGAAATCGAACCAACAGCCGTACGTATTGGTCATAAAAGTCGAAGGGCAGGTCTTCGCTATGAAAGAGGATTTTTGTTTCCTGTATTTCAAGGATTCCGTCTTTTACCAAGTCTGCGTGACCGCGTATGGTGATGACACGAGCCATAAGTGCACATAGCCAGCGGGGATCGATAAAGTAGAGGTCGCTCAGGCCCTCGTTCGGGTCATCAAAGTGCATTATGACACCTGGACGAAAAAGGATAGTTTAAAAAATGACTTTTTACTGAACTGAACTACCTTCATCCATACTGAACACCGCAGTACCTCACATGTAGCGAATTGAATATTAATACGATAATTACGTCATGAATACGTCCTTGGCCAAGGACGCTTGCTTGTGTTAATCATAGATATCTTATATACACTAGATAGCGCATCTCTTTTAGTAAAATTGAAGCCAAGAATATTCCAGCGGTTACCCCCATTTGAATAGATGGCGGCCATGTTGGTCGTTCCCACTTGCTAATAAACGCTTAAAAACAACAATAACTTTCATTATATGAATAGTTTAAAAACGTATTTGGAATAGGGTTAACTTAATGTTTAAGTTCCCTGTTTAAGAAATAGAAAACATACGAATCTTCTCAATTCATGGGAACGACCTGAGACCGCAATCACGGTTTCAATTTTTGAATTGCAGAATAATTAGATGCGCTATCTAGTGTATAAAAGATATCTATGGTGTTAATACGATAGCCTCGGGGAGTTTGTTTGGGAGATGGAATTACAATGGTCCTTGAACTTGCATTGTTTTCAATGTTAATTGGACTTACATTGTTTATATTCAATTCCTCCAATTGTGCACCATTACAAGGTGTTGCTGGAATTTCCATGTTAATTGGGCTTGGATCATTAACATTGTTCTCTTGGTTTACTTCAAGCATGAAGTTTTCAATAGATGACAATTTAGACTTAAGGTGGCTCCCTACAGTTTTGATTGTACAGCACACAATTGCATTCAAAAACCATTATTTTATCATCTTGCAAAGTATGATCACGAAACTCGGCCATATAACTGCTACAATATTGCGAATTACGAAAAATAAAAAATGTCGTTAAAAATCCCCGTTGCCATGGTAACAAAGCGATTTTAAAAAGGGCCAATTTGCAGAATCTTTGATAATTTTTTGAAAATTTCTTCGGTAAAACTTTCTAATTTTTTGCACACAGTAATCTTATCAATAATTCCTTCAAATGATAGCATTTAAAAAAAATCGTACGAGAATTTTTTTTTTAATCCTCAAAAAACCCTGTTTTTGGAATAAAAAAAATTCCGCTCGTACGATTTTCTTAAAACTTGCACATTTTACGCACTTCAAGATTTCAAGAAAGTGTGTGAAGTTTTAAAAAATTTTACCGAAGGAACCACGAGAAAAATACATTTATTTTTATCTATGTGACGTCACAAAAATCAGGATTTCAATTTCCTCGCGCGACCATCCGACAATCCCACGAAGGCCCACGCGTGTATATCACGACGTTTTGGCGCAATAAATATATTCGGGCAACGTTGACCACGCGTGTCCCATGTATCACTACTAATCTCGCGCGTTGACAACATTTCCGCGACACAGGCCTAAAACTGTAGGGAGCCACCTTAAAGATGATGTCCACTCCGTTCTGCGCATCAGTTCTGCTCATAACAAAGGGGGACCCCCAACACCGCGGAAAAACGTCTGCGCATGCGTCAACCTTACCTGTAATAGTATTGCGAACTTGATGAGAAGCTGTTCCGAAGGCTCAAAATGGCGGTAAAAAGGAGTGACTTCATTGTGCGTCTTTACAGCCAGATTTCGAGCGCAAAAATAAACATGTCATTCTAAAAACTAGGAATAAATACAGCCAGAAGGTTCAAGAAATTGTATTGTACAAGAACATGAACTAAAGGTGATTGTTGACAAATTTATCGTCTGAAACATTTTGTTTATCAACTAAGCAACGACAATTTCCGAATTTTCGTTTGAGATACATTTCTTTAAAAAAAACTGTGTCGCCAAATATAAAAAATTTTCGTGTTCACAATAATTAAACTTTAGGATTTATTCTACAATTTGAGTGGGTTAAGAAGCTTAACTTTTCGAGAGTTTTCTTAACTTTTGAGTTTGAATTTTTGTTTTGAATAATTTTGCAAAAATTTTCGAAGTCGTGTCCGTTAAAATCAACAATTTTTTACATGAATTATATTTCATTCCATACTTTAAATGCCAGGACGCTTTCAATTAATGTCTAGTCTACCCATTTGCTATATTTTCTCGTTTGTTTTACTAATTTTTGACCAATTAATAAGCATGTTTTTGTTTTAGAAATTGACATTCAAATTCCCCGCCATATTTTCATAATTTGGTGCATGCGCAGACGTTTTTCCGCGGTGTTGATATAAACATTGCCCAAATTTTGCATCTTTCGAACTTTTTTGAATTGAAACGTACAGTTTATATTCATTTACAAGTATAGCGAACCAGAAAAGTGTTAGATATTCAGTTAGTATATCATTTTTTACAAATATAGCAGTTCAAAACATAAATATGTGCACAGGAGTGGACATCATCTTTAAAGAATAAACTGTCTTCGTTAAGTACATGAATTAATTTGTCCTGATGTCGAATTACGGCTTCCAAATCCTTCAATATTACTCAGAGTGATTTTATCTCAGACTCATTATCGCTTTTAGAGGTTACACTGAGTAACTAGTGATTTTACCATCGAGATCATTGGGGGTGGAGATGAATTGAGCCCAGGAAAGTGCATTTCCAGCTATTCCCCACAATAATTTTGTCTAACGTAGCCATATGTCTGTTGCATGATGAGTGTTTTATCAGGTTTAAAGCCACTGCACGTGACATATTATAGTTGACATGATTTGCCAATAAGCTTATGAATTATTAATGAGTGTTTGAAAGAGATTTCGAGCACTGATAGAACTGATAATCTCACATGTGATATTATTTATGATAATTTCACATGTGAAAATTATCGCTTTTCAATTATCGCTTTTCTGTAAAAATTATCGCTTTTCAAAGACTGTCCTTTATATAATAAACAGAAAAATACATGGGTGCGTGGAAATGCCAGATTTATTTCTCGTGCTCAACACTCGAAATAAATCTGGTATTTCCGCGCACCCATGTATTATTCTCTATGTAAAAGAACAATTACAAAATATGCGACGGTCAAGTCGAGTGTTACTCTGCTTTGAAAATCACGTAGGCACGCTTAAAACTGCGACACTGTAGAAGCCCAAAACACTTTTAAAACTAATACGTTTCACCTTTCAAAACTGATGCCAATGTAGTGTCACATAAAAAAGGAGAAATATATTTCAACCTTGCATGCAATGATAGTATAGCCAGCTGAGCATGCAACTATTGCCTACGAAAGGGCATATGCGTTCAGCATCATGAAAATTATCTGAGGCGGGGGATAACCCCCCCCCCCTCGCTTGCGCGGTCCCGACAGTGCAGTATACCTCTCTCTCGTAGAAAAATAGTGGCGTCGCGAACATCCATCAATTCCTGTATATCTTTTTTGCAATGCAGCGAGTTCTCTTTGACCATTGCATCAAACTCCTCTTTCCGAATGATAGGTAACTCGTGCTTTTCCTGCATTTCAGTCCTGCGTTCCTCGATGCGGGCAATCAGCGAGATAAAACTGCTTGGAATGAGTTCACCCATGACAAGCGTACTGGTACGGACCTTTTTCAGATTGGCAGCAGTATCGTAAATAAGCAGGCGTAGACTGTTCACTTCTACGAAGAATAAAAATAGCGCATATTAATTAGTACTCTTCATCAAGGGCGGATCTTAAAACGATTTAATTGATTTATGAGCTCACGAGAAAATACTCAGAATGCTTTAGAAGTTTAGTTAAATATCATTGTTAAATATGTAAACATGTCAAGGTTGCTATACAGCAATACTTCCCAACTCTTATTTCAATTTTGGAACCATCTCGTAAACTACACACGCAAAAATCTCACATCTTGTAGCAAGTCTGCCAACAAGATGTATTCGCACTGCTTGTCACAAGTTGTCAACAGGTTTGGAACAACTTGTTGACAACTTGTAACAACATTGTCGAAATTATCAGACTTGTTGCAAGGTTGTTCTGACAAGTCCGTTACATGCTTGATATAACAAGATTGTTACAAGGTTGTATATCATGACTGTAACAAACTTGTTAGCACAGTCTTGTAACAAAGCTGACAATGCCATCAAGCTTGTTACAAGTTGTTAACAGCTTGTTCCAAACTTGTTACAACAAACTGGGAACAAGCAATGCGAACACAACTTGTTGACAGCTTGTGAACAGATTTGTAACAACTTGTTGGCAGACTTGTTACAACTTGTGCGTTTTTACGTGTGTACCTCTCGTCCATCCCTTTTAGATATTACCATATGCGAAGATCAGATGCCTCACCTGCACGTGATCCACCGAAGGCGCATGACAGAGCACGAATACCATGCGGTGGAATGATGACTCTATCCTGGTACCGAGGCTTCTGCACCAACTCATTGACCATGTGTTTCAACCGCGAGACATAGTCGCTACCATACTTCTCAGGCGAGATGCAATCTAGATGAGTTCCCACAATGATGACAGTGCTGCCTGGCGATCTGACCGCGATGTTATCTAACCTATAGTGGGCAGATATGTGAAAGTTAAGCCCAAATCAAAGTATCAAACGGGGATATTGCATTAGCTGTTCTTAATGCTTTCCCAACACTATCATGTGTTCTATTTAATTCAAAACTCATTAACAATTTACGACGAAAACACAAAGAAAAATCATAAGCGTGTCGTATCTTTACATGTGATAAAGATTTTCCTTGATTTACATTAACTTTAACTTTGATTTTCTCGACTTACACAACGTATTTTTTGAAAATTACTTCGCCAATGAACTTACTAGATCGATCGTTTTTGAAGCAATTTAAAACATTCGCAGTTCGTGTTTTATCAGACCTAAATTAAGATACTCGGCTACGCCTCTTATCTTTATATCTGATAAAACACTGCTGTTCATGTTTTAAATGGTACTTCAAAGCATAGATAGATAGATATTTTATTGAAGTTTACATTGCAGCCATGGGATGAATTCAGTAAAATTTACAAGAATTTATAAAGAAGATTATCTTAGAACAAGGAATTCTATTATATGTACGAGAATTCCACTATGCATTATATATGCACCAATTAAAAAATAGTATTGCTAATTGTGCCTTAATTAGGTTACGGTAAAAAAACTATTTGTAAAATGATTCGTTTTAAAACAGTTCCTAAACGGATCGTGTTTATACTTAGATTGCCTAATACTGTTGTTAATTATACGTTAATTGAATTGCTGATGATAAAACTATTTCTAAAACGGTTCGTATTTACTCTTGGGTTTATGAATTTCGTCTTTTCTTTCCAAATTAAGTGAGATATTGTTTTCAGCAGGCAATAGTTTATGTAATTTGGCGCATAGTTGAAACACTTACATGTCAACTCGCAGCAAACAAAGATGGGAGTGGAATCTTCACAGAGAAAAATCCTTGGCCCTCCTCTACCTGGTAGAGTGGTATGCATTGGGAACATTGATTTACAATACTTACCATGGAATTAAGCCTGCAACACCTTCTTCGCCGTCAATCAGTCGCCAAACCAAAAGATACAAAGACATGGTGGATAAAAAACATTGATGTGTCGTGTAATAATCTTCCTGACCGCCGAAATCCCAAACTTTGAACGTGTACTCTCTGTAAAAGGGTCCACGTTTTACAGAGAGGTCAGAGATTTCCACACCTAGAAAAATGACCGTTGAAATTACCAACAACTTTCTGGGGGAGATAAAAGTTGTTCAAAATCCGATTAGCTTAACCCTAGGTTAACATAAAATTCACAGCAAACTTCCCAACAACTTGTTTATAAATTTGGAAATATTTCTTTGGAAATCTTGTCTGAATCAGGAGTTTCATTCTCTGAAGTTTTGAAATCAACAGACGTGCAGAAATACACAAACCAAAACAGGTTAAATCTTAACCCAGGGTTAGCACAGGTTGAGCAACCTGCCCCAGGTGTGTGCACGACCCCTCTCCCCCCTCGCGTCAGAGGGAGCCACGGCAGGAAGGCACTAGTCTGTAAACGCGCTTGACAAATTCACAAGGCCAACAGGGCTGCGCACCCCTGTACACCCCTATAAATCCACCCCTGCGTTAAGGCGCTGTCACACTATGCAATTTGTCTCGCAATTTAGTGTTGCGGCACATGTTGCACGCGAAATTGCAAGGTGTATCATGCCTCGCAATCAACAAGTCTCGCAATATTTTTGTTGCAGCAACCATTGCACGAAGTAGAATTAGGTTCTACTTTTTGCAACGGTTGCGGCAACCCTGCAACGCATTTTTAAAGCATTGCGCAGTGTAACATCCCTCTTGCAACTAGTCTCGCAATTTGTATGCACTGAATGGCTTCCTATTGGCTTTTGACTGACAATATGGCGCGGTTTTTATACTATTTTTAATAATGATCATTGCAAGCTGCATGGAACATATTGCTTGGTGTAACATCCCTTGCAATGCAATCCTTAAATCGTTTTTCTTAACATTGCAAGACAAGTTGCGTAGTGTAACAGCGCCTTTACTGTCGATGCAATGGAAGTGTTGATAAAATATTGCACAAATTCCTTTCCTCAAGTTGATCAATTCATTTGATAGAAAATTGATCAACTTCCTGTTACTTTTACATGAGCCAATTAGATTTCGTTTCAGAACCGATTGACCAGTAGGAAACGCACAGGAAGTAAAAAGAAATTTGAATCCGTATGAACTGATCAACTTGAGGAAATGAATTCATGCAATATTTTATTTTGCATCGACACTCGACAGTAAGTGTTCGCTGTTGCAAACACCTAACAGTTGAGAAGATTAGCGTCTTCGAATAAAGTTTTACATTATTACATACATACATACATACATACATACATACATACATATTGTTCCTACCTTGTGTGAGATCGTTTTCGTTAAAGTGAAATCATCTTTGAGCCTGTGAACAAGCGTGGTCTTCCCGTGACCTCCCTTCCCGACCAACATCAACTTCATGGTGTAGTACGGTTCACAATTACGTAATTTTCTGCGCAAAATCCTCACCAGGTCCTCGGCATTCTGTCTCACCTGCTCTGGGGGGTCTGTGATCTGTAAAGAAAAATTAGGAAGTGTAGTGGGTGATTACAATTACAGACTAAATTTTGATCTAGGCAAGAAGAACAAAATCCATCACCACAGCTAGAAAGAGCATCTTAAAATTAGTAAAATTGCAATGTTTGGTTGCGAAATGTTTGTAAAATGAGGAAAATATAGCCATACGAACTTTGCAAATTTTGTATTAATTTGTATTACGCACGGGAAAATGCACCACTTTCGGCCCAAATGTGGTGCATTTTCCCGCGCGTAATACAAATTAATCGACAAAATGTGCAAATTTCGTAGGGCTATATTTTCCGCATTTTACAACATTTCGTGGCCAAACTTTGCAATTTTACTAATTTTAACATGCTCTTTCTAGCTGTGGTGATGAATTGTGTTCTTCTTGCCGAGATCAAAATTCAGTCAAAAGCTGGAATCATCCATTGGTATCTATGGAAACTGTGGGTGGCTGAATGGCCGAGAGATCGAAAAAAAGAAAAAAGCAAACAACAAAGATTCTCGCTGGAACCTTTTTTGCGGCATCTATCCATTTGTGTACAAGGCGCCGCTTACATGAGACTGGGATGAATCATTAATAATTCGCATTAATAATTCATGAGTAAATTAGCCAACCATATATTGCTTTATTTTGCTCACATGATAATACTGGATACCTGGTGAAGTATATTCATTCAGTCCTAGGACTGCATCAAAATTAATTCAGTCCTTGGACTGGATCAAGATTAATTTACCTCAATTTAAGTGGTGAGTTATTCATACGAGATGTTATTTCAAATCCTTGGACTGGACTAGATTTTAAGGCTTTGCCTCGGGCTTGATGAAATTGCGCGGACATCAAATCTAGTCGACTAGCCCTCATAGTCGGATTTGAAATATTACTTCAATTTATTCCCCTTGCCTGCCATTTTTTACAGTGCTTTTGTGATCGAGCATGCATTGTTTCGAAGCCAAGAGCACAGCCGAGACTGGTCTGAAATGTATTTGTGTTTACATTCATCCCGCTCGGAATTCATCCAGTGAGCCCCGCTCATACCACCCGATGCCTTCAGACCGGTCTGAGCATCAAAGACGCACAAATTATTACAAGCCTCCAAACAAGTTGTTACAAATCTGTTCACAAGCTGTCGACAAGTTGTGTTCGCACTGCTTGTTCCCAGTTGTTGTAACAAGTTTGAAACAAGCTGTTAACAACTGACTTGAAACAAGCTTGATGATATTATCAAACTTGTTACAAGGTTGTTCTAACAAGTCTTATACAGTCAAGATGAGTCAGTAAGAATGTTACAAGGTTGACGACACAAGGTTGTAACAATATTGTTATATCATGACTGTATCGGACTTGTCAGAACAACCTTGTAACAAGTCTGATAATGAAATCTGCTGTGTTGGTGCAATGTACTCAGGTGAATAAGATTTTTGTGTGATGTTACTCTGAGTGTATATCCACACCGGGCAGGCTTGAAAAATATGCCTGGCCACGGCGGGATTCGAACCTACGACCTTTGGAATACTAGCCCAATGCTCTTCCAACTGAGCTACGCGGTCAGGTCGGTTCGAGTATGCGATATTTCGGAACTGAGTCTAGTTCCTTCGATATCAGTGTAATCTAATAATCATGAAATCTGCTGTGTTGGTGTAATGTACTCAGGTGAATAAGATTTTTGTGTGATGTTACTCTGATGTTACCAACACAGCAGATTTCATGATTATTAGATTACACTGATATCGAAGGAACTAGACTCAGTTCCGAAATATCGCATATTCGAACCGACCTGACCGCGTAGCTCAGTTGGAAGAGCATTGGGCTAGTATTCCAAAGGTCGTAGGTTCGAATCCCGCCGTGGCCAGGCATATTTTTCAAGCCTGCCCGGTGTAGATATACACTCAGAGTAACATCACACAAAAGTCTGCTAATGTCAACAAGGTTGTTACAAGTTGTTAACAGCCTGTTCCAAACTTGTTGATAACTTGGGACAAGCAGTACTTTGTACTTGGCTTGTTGGCAGACGTGCCACAAGATGCGAGATTTTTGCGTGCGTGGTCGGTACCACCCGGTATCTGGCAGATCCCTATTCACTGGACACGCCCTTGTGAAGACTAGAAACGTACCTGGTCCAGATTCCTGAGGCTGATATGAGAAAGATTCCTGAGTTTTCCCATCTCGTCTGGCAGGTGGTTTATCTCACGATTGTCACTCAGATCCAGATCCCTTAGCGAAATGATCTCGCACACGGCCAACGGCACTCTGGTGAAATGATTCCTGCTCAAGTTCAACGTCTCCATATACGACCTACCGATCCCATCCGGAAGCGAAGACAAATTATTATCACTAACGTTTAGTGTTTTTAAAACGGGCCTCCATTGAGAAATCTCCGGTAGCTCGGCTATTGCGTTCCCCGAAAGATTCAAATCACGTAAACTGATCATTGAGAATAGTTCAATTGGGACGACTTTGAGTTTATTTTTCGACAGATTCAGACTCACCACCATTTTTAGATTAATCAAGCACTCTGGCAGTGAAGTTAGTGTGTTATGTGAGAGGTTTAAAAACTGCACCCAGGATTTGATATGAAACAGCCAAGATTCGTCGATTGTGCTCAAACGTAGTTTGCTCCAATTCACTTTTTTCTCCTTAACTCGACACGAGGTATTTACCAAAAGGTCTTTTAATACGGTCACCGAGTTTCCTAAATCGGGTAGCTTTATCGCAATGCTAGTGTAGTCTTCGATATTTTTTAAACTTTCCCTAAAAAAAAGAGAAGTACCATCATGATAATTACCGTCACTGGTGGAAAAAAAGATTTTACTTTCTGGGAGCGCAAGAGAACAATTTTCTATAAATAATCAAATCGACACTCGGACGCTGTGACTGTGTGACACTACTAAAAACATTAATTTCAATACACTGAGAGTCTTAATAATACTATTAGGAATATAACATGAAATTTTTACAAGAATATTTTTTTCTTTGTTGGGCAAATATTTTCTGCAGTTATACGCCGGTAATAAAAAAATTTAGTGATTGACCGATAATCGATATCCGGCCGAACTTTGCCTTATCGATAGACAACCGGAGTCGGTAAAATTATATATTTTTCCAATTGTCTAAAACCGATTGTTGAGAAAATATGCACTTTAAAAATTATATGCATTGCGGTTGATACACGTTGCATTTTAACGCAATATGTACTATTTAAAGGACGCGTAGGAGTGTTTTATCACATATAAAACACGACGCGTAGCGGAGTGTTTTATATGTGATAAAACACGACTACAAGTGCTTTAAATGGCTTCAAAAACGACTCATCTTATACGAGTTCATTGGCGAAGTAATTTTTAAAGTAAACTTTGTCTAAACCGAAAGCTAAAGTTTATGTATTTTAACATGATTTTTTATCACATGCATGTAAAACCACGACACAGTGGCGTGCTGGGTACTATTTTTCTGGGGGGGCCAATGGGCTGTCAACCAATATGCGCCCCTATAATATTACACTTGATAAACGAGGGCCGAAGGCACGAGCCGAGCGCCGAAGGTGCGAGGTTTGTCTAGGGGGGTCCGGGGGCATGCCCCCAGGAAAATTTTTGAATTTAGAGTCTCTGAAATGCCATTTCCTGGACTTTGGGGGACAATTTGACAGAAATCTGATGGTCAGGAAACGGCATTATAACGTGTCGAAATTTGCAATTTGTACTTAAGTTATGGAATGCTAACCACTTCCAGCGATTAATCTAATCCCAATTCTATTCTCTACTGATCTAGTGATCTGAATACATTTACAACTTACAGCTCTTTTATACAATAATACACGGACCCCACGCATATGCATTTTAAGGTTTCCATGCCTGGCTGCCAAAAGGGCGCGTTTCAGCATTATTTCATAACTTACATTACTCATTACAACTTTACGTTATCAAAACTTCAACTATCTAATTTGCGCCGCTCTCGTGAAGCATAATAAAGGGCGTAATATAAGGGCATAATACCAGCAAAAGGGGCATAATTCCCGTGATCTCTTCCAAACCTGACCAATATTTCGGTGATGAGACATTGCGTTTGATCACTGATCATGTTCCTATATAAATGATTTCGTGTGCGCCGTGAAGTAGCAAATTAGCAAATACGGCTTAATAGACAAAATAGTCTGTAATTTAATATATCACTTTGTCGTTTTCTTGGCGGAGGTAACTATATTTTTGCGAATGCGTTTTTTCCCACCCACTTTCAAAATTCGGCGCGGGATCGGCGCCCCCTTTTCATTTCTGCGCCCCCCAAGAATTGCCAGCTGGGGGGGGCCGTGGCCCCCGGCCCCCCCTGCCAGCACGCCACTGCCACGACACGCTTATGATTTGTTTTGTGTTTTGCTCTTGAATTATTAATGAGTTTTTTAAATTCATATCAATATTTATTAGCTGCTTGGTCTCTAGCCTTATGTTTATTTTAAGTAGCTAGTATCCATTTTATTTAATCATTATTGTGTAAAATGTTTATATTTTTGTTGTTGTAAAGGGTACAAATAAAGGTCATTATTATTTGATTATATTATTTATCCGTGGATTGGAACGGACAAGAAAATATTTCTTTGTCTTGTGAGCTCTGGGTTGGAACTAATGACTTTAACACAAAGAAAAAGTTTCTTGTCCGTTCCAATCCACGGACAATTTTCCTGAGTGGAAACTAGCCTTTAAGGGGTCTCAAATTCCTTCCGGTTTCTGGAAAAAGGTAGTGATGTTTGTGTGTTCTTTTTTTAGGAAAGTATGTTCAACGTCTCCATGGACGCGACAAAAACAGCAACACATTTCCATGTCCCAAATGCCGCTCAGCGTTTACGCTTAAATCAAGCAAAGATTTTTCTGATATGGCAAGTAATCATTTCATCAAGAATATGCTGGAAATTATGGCGATTCAACGAAACGCGAAAGCGTCTACCGCATGTTCACGCTGCCTAGATCCTTCCATTAATCACTGCGCTACATGCGAAATGTTTATGTGTAAGAAATGTTCAGAGTGGCATAATACCTGGCCGGCGATCAAAAACCACAATGTGCTATCTGTAGAGGAACTGAGTAAACCTGAAAGTCAAGTAAAAATAATGAGAAGGAAACTTTACTGCATGATACACGAAGACAAAATACTGGAGTATTATTGTGAAACGTGCAAGGAACTTTCCTGTATGCATTGCTTGGTGTTATATCACCAGAAACAAAATCATTCGTGTGCAGCAGTAAGTGACATCGCACAGAAACAAAGAGAAAGATTGCAATCATGCTGCACAGCACTTGATGAGAAATTTTCTGAAGGAAAGGAAGCATTAACCAACATTGGTGAGGTGATGAAGTCTCTTAAAAAGAACGCTGAAACTGCTAAAGGTCAAATCAAAGAACAAAAGGAAAATATCTTGAAGATTGTGGCAGAAAAACTTGATGAGAGAGCAAAGAAAATGAATGAGGAGGTGGACAAGGTTTATGGTGAATTACACAACGAACTGTCCAAGCAAATGAATGAAATGATACATTTTCTTGATAAAATTCAAGCTTCACTGTCTTTGCCAAGAAATCTCCTAAAGAGAGGTACTATAGAAGATATTCTCTCATCACAGAAATTAATTGATGAAAATATTAGAAAGTTGAGAAGTGAACAGCCAGAGAGTCTGGCCACAGTGAATGATGGTGGTATTCAGTATGTACCTGGCTACATTGGTAACATCAATGTTGATGAAATTCTTGGTAAATTGGGGTATGTAGAAGGTATGTACAAATATGTCAATTCAGTACTTCATTGATTTTTATCACATAATTTATATGTCTTTATTTAGGGATGTATATTTCTTTAAACTCTAGTAGTTGAATTAAAGCCAAGGAGAAATAGTGTATCTTTTAGGACCTGTTTGCATTTAGCTCGGGTAGCCCAAGTCTATTATTGCGTTTTTGCTAGCTTCCTTTTACGTGGGTGTACACTTAAGCTAGTGATCATAGTTGCAAGGCTATGTCCTGCCACGTATACCGCAAATTATTTCTTATTAAGTCTGTGAATTACTGCTAAATAATTTACTGTGTTGTAAACTGTGACAAGCTGTAACTAATGGTTAAACAACTGTGAAAGCCTTTCACGCCTATTATTAACCATTTTGCATTAAATTGGAAACAAAAATGTTTCAAGAACTAAAATTTACAACAATCAATAACCCCAGTATTTTGTAAATTATCCACTAATGTAAAATTATAATTATCGAAAGACCACATTTATATTTTCGCAACTTTTCACGTATCTGAAACAATACTAGACTAGATATAGTATACGACAGAATTCTTATCCAAGATCTTCTTATGGTATCAAATAACATTGATCTTCCCCCAAGTTTTCTAGACGGGCCTACCATTCCGGAGACAACTGTTCTCCAAATGAATATATGAAATTAACCAGCGCGAATTCCATATAAACTCAGTTTAGGGCCCATTAAGCTCGATAGGACATATTTAGTTGAGAACTAATTTCAAAATTTTTAGTGCAGCAATTAAGAATTTCTCACAACATCTGTTATCACTTCAGTATATTTAGTATCGGACTTTCCCTTAGCCTCATTTTAATAGATTCTTTTTGTTTTTTATAATGACCAATAACAAGGTTAAATATTTTAATTTTTAAATTTTTTAAACGAATTTTTTACTGTTATCACTACATGCACATTTTCCCTCAGCTACACTGTTTCAATTCTGCACAAATTGGTTATCACTGACACTGTATACTAAATTAAATTAGGCATTGTACATTTTATATACGCCTCTTCTACTGGGATTCGATCCCTGAAATAGACAGTTATGTGATTAGAAAGCTGGGGATTGAGAGGGATTCAACTATACCTCAAAAATACAAGTGAAACTTTGAAGTAGTTAATTACTTGTATTTTTCAGGTAGTTGAATCCCTTTCAATACGCCGCTTTCTAGTGTTATTGCCACTACCTACTCTGGCAGACCATTCAAGGTTTTATTTTGTGAATATTATTTTGCCCCAGTTATTATATATATATACATGCAAAAAGAGAGCATCCAGTTTGGCTGTACAGTTATAAACACTGCACGTTTTCTATGGTGCCAGTTTCTATCTGCATGTACCACTGTACGAATGAGCTAAGGATATTAAGCTTACGCTAGACGTCTTGAATGAATGAAGTAGATAAGTATAGGGACTAGTTCAAACGTTGAACTTCGCATGAACCAAGGTCGGCGAGAGCCAACCACGGACCACGGGACAAAATAGACAGATTTAGATCGAAGACGCGGACGTCAAAGACGACGTGAAAATGGCATGTTGTGCCCATGTATGGGTATGCCACGCCATTTTCACGTCATTCTCACGTCGTCTTTGACGTCCGCGTCTTCGATCTAAATCTGTCTAATGACGATTGGTGAACGCGGGCCCCCTGTCCCTCTCGGCTCTCTCGCTGGTTATTTTTAATCGCAATCAACGAGAGAATTGCCAGCGAATTACTTGCAAGAAATCGCATAACTGATAAAAACGCAATGTGAACGATGTTCAGCTAACTGTTTTTGCCGAGAAAACGACATTTGGTACGACGTTTTACGATCGATGATGACGATCAGCGGATAGTGTGCAAGCTAGTAGGCGTATTTCATTTAGGACAAACATAAATCGATGATAAACAATACGAACATTTTACCGAGATTTCCGGGCCCCTCTGAGCACTCCGGGTCCCGGGTAGTTTGCCCCCCCCCCCTCGCCGGCCTTGGCATGAACTGCATGATCCTAATTTCATCAGTTGAGCTCATTTCGAAGATCGAGGTATCAATCAGCCAATTTTGCATGAACCAACTATATTTACATGCCATTAGACTACCGCTGGTCATAAATACCGTTTATCTTTTTCGAAAATTGTTTGGACTCAAGTTAGATTTAGGTCAACTCTAGATCGACACAAAAGAAAGATTCGCGTGAAGTTCGACGTTTGACTTGAGCATAAGGGGCGGACCATTAGAAATCCCGGGAGGGGGGAAAATTCCCCCAAAACAATTCGTGCAAAGAAAAATGCCTGGAAAAAAATTCGTGCAGCCATTACGTCAGAGAAAAAACTCCTTCGTGCAAGCAAACAGCAAAGTACAAATAGTCTTGAAAAAAAATTCGTGCAGAGGTTAAATGCATTAAAAAAAATTCCTGCAGACATGAGACTGAAAAAAAATTCGTGCCGCAAAAAATTTATACCCCCCCCCCCTACCTGGATTTCTAATGGTCCGCCCCTAAGTAAAAAGTATTCAGATCATCTCACGAAGCCCAAATATACATATTAATGTTATTAAGGTCGTAACAGGTTTACAGTTTCAGGATATTATTATCAAATTGTTTCCTTCATAATACTGTCGTTCCAAGGGCCAAGGTCTTTTATTGCATAACATAATAATGATCTGGTCGTATAGCTCGATCTTGCCAAGCCCAAGGTTACTTACTAGCTATAATTAATTGTTTAGATACTCCATCTGTTCCTGATAATTTAAAAAAGTCTTCCAGTATTTTGAAAGGAGAAATTGCCTTCATGAAAAAACTACAGAAATGGTTGGGAGAGAAGTGTAAATGGAATCTTTGCTATCGGGCATCTAGAGATGGTTGGAGTCCTGGAGATTTTCACAGGCATTGTGACAATAAAGGAGCGACAGTGGTTTTAGTCAAAGCCAACAATTGCATCTTTGGTGGATACACTGACCAACAATGGGACTCAAGTACGCAAGATAAGATTTTTACATTGTATTTCAATACGTACGAGCCACTGTGCATTGCAAGTGGTGTACTAGTATTGAAACGTCAATTAGATAAAAAGCATGCATCCCGATCACAATCAAACCAGGCCTACATTTTATATAACGTTCCATTGCACTGAACTCGTGCAACCCAAATCTTCATAATGAGGCCGGCGGAATTAAATTGAAAATGCGTAATACAGTGAAGGAAAATAGCGGGTGTGAAGGACAAAGTAAAATGATAGTGAATGCCATTTATTGACATTTATTACATCAATTAACTCGTCACTATGCTCAGACATTGTTTTGGACATGTTTGTTGGATTTCTATTATAATTGTAAACATTGTACATGCAACTCATGCATGTATTTGTATGTTGTATTTAATTCAATGAAACATCGATAACATTGATTTGTTTTGGTGTTATTTAAAACAAATGAAGATTTTCATTCGTGTCATAATAAAAGTATTTTCATTCAGTGAAAAATAGAATTTTCCATTCCACTTGACTGTTGCCTCGTGAATAGAAAATTATTTGTATAATAGGAGTACGCAGATTTAACTGAAGCTTTGCTCTGTCTACCTAGCCAACCTATATCATCTGTGATTCAGTGATAAAGTAATTAATACAAAACAAATAATAGGGGATGATAAAGAGGTAATATTTGGAGCTGTAACTTGCCAATGGGAAGAGAAAAATTTTTCCATTTTCGAAGGGATTTGGAAAATTCGCGAGTGGCTGGGAAAATAAGATTGAAAATCCCTCTGGACGATCCTGATTATACCTAGCTATTTAAAAGGGTCTAGAAACTGCTATTAAATATTTGATATAAAGTTGAATTTTTTTCTTTAATTCATTTTAAGGTGGTGCTTGGAAATATTCCAACGCGTCATTTTTATTCTCCCTGCGCAACAAAGACAACCTTGCTCCATTTATTGCCAACGTCAAGCAAGGTCAGGAACACAAAGCAATCGCCTGCCACCCTAGTTATGGATCGATCTTTGGTAAAGGTCATGATCTGATTATTCGTGCCAATCCTCAAGTTAATCAGTCGCAAAGTAATTTTGGAGACACGTATCAGCTCCCCCGGGGTTATGCTCATGGCAGTAAACAAGCAAAGAACCTTCTTGCTGGTCAAAACGGTTTCTTAACGACAGAAATTGAAGTCTTCAACTAAAATATTGTGTTTCTGTTTGCTTGCATAAAGCATTACAATCACGACTGATGTGTAGTGAGATAGAAGTTCAATCTATACGAGTCATTTATATAAAGTTTTAATGCATAAAAAAATAATGCATGTTTATTTTCGCCCGAGGCAGGAAGCGGGAGTTAACCCACTTGCCTGTGAAGCAATGTTTTAATACGCAGACACATTGCTATGTAAAGGAGCATATAATAATGGTTAAATTTGAGAAGAGTGCCAAGTATTTTTTTAAAATTTGACCGTAAAGTAATCCTGTACGCCAAAAAAAGTTATTATAATAATAATTTGATCCGAACATTGATTTCCATTTTGATTCGCATGATTTTTCATTGATGTCTGTGATATTGAAATATTACATGATCATATATATGCCAATATAATAATACCAAACTCAACTTTCATAGCCACGCCCAAATGGCATTATTTTTAATTTAGAGAGATAAACTACAATTGTCTGCATTGACTTCTTTGTATTAAAAATTACTGATCGTGAAATTAGATAATGTAAATAATCTAAAAATGAATATAATTTTACTCTGTTGATTAAAATTCATAATTATTGTGTGCAACATTATAATTGAATTGTTGTTGGGCTCATGAAAATGGGCCATAAGTTGAAAGGTTATATTTTGATTAATTAAGCGATAAGTAATACCAACATGTAAGCAATGATTAGCAGATAGAAGTTTACAGTCTGACAATTTGCCAAAGAAATCGGGCTGATTGTGGGTGGCGCCTGTTGTGTTCGGGCAGTGGAACCTTGCGGGTACGTCTTGCAATTTGATTTCAAGAGATCTTTAAGGGAGTCGAAGATAATTTTGACCTCAGAGGTAATTTGTAACTGTGATGTGGGTTCGTCGAAGCTATAAGATAAAACTAAGAATTAATAAATGTATTGAAAAAACATATGCATGGATTCATCGTTTGGTCACAGAATAGGAAGTTATACCAGAAGCGTAACTCTAGTCGTTTCCCTTATTGTTTGACGTCCATGAAAATTTTAACTCGCTCACGTCAGGCCACGCCATCCTGGCTAGTACAGCCGGAAGTTTTTATCAGGATTTGGTAGGTACAAAGTGCCGGTTGTACTAGCCAGGATGGCGTGATTGATGACGAATCGCTTGTAAAAACGCGGACAAATATTTGCTCGAGTTACGCTTCTGGTATAACTTCCTATTCTGTGGTTTGGTTGTTGTTGGTGACGTCATGGGACTGCCCGCAGGCTAACAATATTTGTTTAAACTTGATCTAAAAACACTCTGGTTAACATTTTCCTGGTTAACCTAGAATTAACCTTATCTTGGTTAATTTAACATTCCTGCTTATTTTAACCTTTTCTATACTATGTATAGTATGGATAATTTTCCTGATTAACTAGTAAGCTGAATATGCTAAATTGATAAATGACAAGGGCTCTAACATGGTCTGGTTATTTCAACAAGGACGTTCTGGTCAAATATAACCAGCTTTCTGGTTATACTTTAACCAGATTATGGTAGGATGTTATAGATAAAATAACCAGAAAATTTAACTTGAGGCTTGGTTATGTTAAAAGGTCGTTTCGACGTTGAGGGTAAAATTGAGATGTTCTGGAGGAAACCAAATAATCTATTTCCCGAGAAAACAGACATTAAATGTTTTGTTGTACAGCTAATTCAATTAGCTATTTCCCAAAGTCCTGGGTCTAGTCGCGCAAATCCCATGTTGGAGGGAAAACTGAAATATGGCAGCACATATTTAAATTAAAAGTTTAAGGTAAAAATATTCCATATTTCATTTTTGGTCGTCTAAAAAGTTCATATTTGATAGTAGATACTTCTACTCTTTCACATATTTGACGCCTGTCACCATATATTTTGTCCCTCAAAACGATCACAGAATGCATTGTGATCTCTTGGGAAAAGGCTAATAAAGGTTGTCCTTTGCAAACCTTAAACTCTAAAACCTTAAACTCTACTTCAGAAAGTATATATGGAGCCCATTTCTTAGAGACACGGTAAATATCTCCCTGCGATCATAGCCGTGCGATGCGAAAACATTTCGCTCACAAACAGCTGCAATATTCAACCACTAAACTTGAAATTTGTGCTCCCATTATGCTTTGCGCGCTCAGAGTTTAACGTTTAATTTAAAATTTCGAGTTTAAGGTTTGCAAAGAACCACCTTTTTTTAATTACTGTAGCTGTATATATAGCGACAGAGATAAAGTGACGAACGTTTACAAAACAATTGTGTTTCATGAATAAAACTCTTTAATGTAAATTATCTTGAACCTGCCTCTCCTCTGTTAGATAGCTACTTTAGTCTTTTTGTAAACTGGAAAATTGTTCTTTCTAAACTATTTACTACATTTTGGGATTTATGTACGTATAGCCGTTCGGAGTTTGCACCAATTTTTCACTTGTTGCCCGGCGGGATACGTTGCATATATCTGAATCCACGTGACTGCGAATCAAACAATCACGTTTAGTTTAAAGCACTAGCTATATCTATAACAATACGGCAGTACCAATTGTTCTTACCATTTCCTCACAGAATCGTTGCAATCTTCTTGGTCATTTTCTATTAATATTTGTTTCTCATCTTCTGAGCAGTACACTGGTGAACAAGCAATTTGCTTCAGTTTTAGTACACATAAGCTTGAGAAAACCTCAACATTGTTGTATTTAAGAGCTTGAATAGTTTGGAAGAGTTGCACCAATACTACGGATGTCTTCTCGTAGCCGTCCAACAAATCGTTGGGCATCTACATTGAAAATCAGTCGAAATAAAAATTTGGGAAAACTAGTAAACGCTGATTGACATTGTCATTGTTGTTTCAATTGAAAATTTTGCTGCAAGCATTTGCCGGAAAGTACTGCCCTGTTTCCAAAAAAATTAGTTTGCTTTGAAAGCGTTAGTATTTTCCCCAAACAGGGAAAAAGCTATAGAAGTATATAGAATTTAATTATTTATTTTTGTTTATTTATATAAATTGCTTCCACCAAAAATACAAAAAGTGGTGCAGTTTAGCAATATGTACAAAACTCCAACTTATAAAAGTGCGCCCTTAATGGGTGATTCCTGCAGCTATAGACTAATTTTTTATCAAGGCAAGAAGAACGAATTCCAACACCACAGCTAGAAAGAGCGTCTTAGAATGAGTAAAGCTGCAAATATTGGTTGCTAAATGTTGTAAAATGAAGAAAATATAATCCTGTAAAGTTTGCAAATTTTGTATATATAGGCATATATTATTTTGTATTACGCGCGCGGTAGATTTAGACCCCACGTTTACACGGTACCGGACGAATTTGGGACCGGGCTGAAATTCTTCCTTTTTCGCCTGTTAGTATACAGGCGAATTCGTCCTGTTAGGGGGTCTCGAATTCGTCCGGTTCCGCGAAAAAGGACGAATTTCGTCCCGGTTCCAACTTCGTCTGCTACCGTGTAAACTATGTAAACGGGGTCTTAGAGGTTTTCGTATTGATACGTTTTTAATTAAGTTATGACAAGACAAACTGACAGATAAACACATAAACACACGTGGGGGAAAACTCGTCCCCTTGGCGAATGTAATAATTAAAGCACTATAATTGCTGAGTAATAAGATGCATGGAATTAGACATTTCACAATCGTGTAGAAGCCACAATTAGTAATTCTGTAGCCTTAACTTCCGCAGTCACCAAAGTCTACTCGCTTTAATTATGATGTATACTGACTCATTTGAATAGCCTACACAACAACTCAATCTGATACAATTTTTCAATTGTCAGAAGAAAAAACTTAAATCAAGATGTCTCATGCTTAGGCACTTGCCATGCACGTATTTCTCTTTTATAGTGAGGCAATTATTATGAATACAGCACTCAGACCTTATGTAAATTTAATCAATTTTAGCTTCCTGATCGAGTTTTGGACCGGCGACACGTTTCCACAACAATCGTTTTTGCATCTGCTAACAGTCGCCAGCCTTATATTAGTGTTTTTGTCCGTATGATCAATGCTAAATACTAGTCGGTAGGAAATACATGTAGGAGTAAGAAGCCAATTTTGAATGACATAATGATTGTGTACTGATATTTTGCAATTTGAAAAAGCCATAATTCACGTCAGTGGCGGCGCCACGGGGAGGACTGGGGAGGACACGTCCCCCCCAGTTCTCTTCAAGGTCAATTTTCTAATTTGTCCAAATCCGGTGAGAAAATTGGGGGGGGGGGGTACGTTTGTGACATCAGTCCAGTTATTTAGATCTAACTTAATAAATTCAGTCTTTATTGTGTGAATAAAAACCGGTATTAAAAGATCATCGCTTTACTTTTGACAAAAGACCGTTTCATATATGCGGTATTTACCACTAGCATATTGCAGGCACTGATTACGACCGCCGAAGGAAACCCACTATAACGGGTTAATATATTATCCAAATTAAGTGCAATGTGTGATGCGGACGTTTGGTCCTGCTGCTGAGATGTGAGGGAGATATGTTAATTAATGCACCGTTCGCGCAACATATGGTCATTAGCTTCTTGGAACGCATGACTACACAACTGAAAGAGAAAAATGTTTGAAGGAAGAGATTCATCAAGTGAAATTGTGTGTGAGGGAGGCAAATAGAACCTTCGTTTTCGAATCTGGACGGTTAGACCTATCTTAGATTTTTCAACATCGGAAATATCGGTGAGAAAGTTTACATTCCAAAAGAAATGGTACGAAGAGTACATTATACAGTGGCGCCGGCAAGGGGGGGGGGGGCGAGGGGGGGCAGCCGCCCCCCCAATATTCTCCAGAGTGGGTTTTTGGATTTGTCCAAATCCGATGTCGTAGGGGGGGGGGGTGCGGTGTGTAAATATTTGGTTGTCAAGTGCACGGTTGCGTGTAATGGCCAAGGAAACGAAAGAACGAAAGCCGTCTTTGGTTGATTTATACCGCGAACTTCTTCAAGAACCCGAATGCTTCCCCAATTTGTCAAAAATTATTAAGATTGCCCTTACTCTCCCTTTGACATCAGCATCTGCTGAGAGATCATTTTCCAAGCTGAAAATAATAAAAAATCGCCTGAGGTCGACGATGAGGCAAGATCGACTAGAATCGCTGATGCTCATGTCCGTGGAATCTGACATTTGTCGGGACCTCGACATCGAAGGACTCGTTGAACGATTTACCGACGCAGCTCCCCAAAGATGGAACTTGTACTAAATATGTATTATAACATTAAATTCTTCATTTCATTCTTGGTTTTATTAAAAATACATTTGATTCATATATTGTATGGAAATCAATTATGTTCCGATCTACTAAAAAAGTGATTTATTAAAACCTTTATGTTTCTCTTAAAGTGCCTCCAAAACGCAGGAAATGCGGTTTTAGACACGCAAAATTCAAAATTTTCTCGGGGGGGCATACCCCCGAACCCCCCAAGTAGGCTCGTGCCTTTGGCACTCGAATGATTTGCCCCCCCAAAAATAAATCCTGCCGGCGCCACTGCTTGTCCTTCTATTTGACAATGTCCAGTTATTAGTTCAATGTTCACTGTGTTGCTGTAGAATTCTCAATAAAATTGTTAAAATAATCTGTGCCAGTGTATGGAGTGACGAGAATAAGAGAGTTTCGGATTGATGCAACTACCTCAAAATACAAGGAGAACTTCGGCGTTCCGAACAAAGGCACTTCGTGGGGTCTTTGAAATACTGGCTAGCCGGAAGGGCCTTCGCTTGAAACGTGTCGGTTCTGCTTTTATTTTTCAGTAGTTGTATCAATCCGCATCTCTCTGTCTATATATCATTTAAATATTTCAGTACAATATAGAAATGCACATAGTTTCGCTTACAGCGTTGCAACTTGATAACCACTGAGGAATCTTCTGGTGGCTGACAAATTTTCGCTTCTTTTGTATATTGCCGCGCTACTGATACAACTGCAGCTCAATATGTGAGTGGAACAAATAATAATTCTAAAATACATTTTCAACATATCCGCCAGAATTTTCTTCCTTTTCCTAGGATTTGCCGGAATTTTCTTCATTTTGCTAGAATTTGTCCGAATTTCCATGGTTTTTTAAAGGTTGGCAGTTAAGCTACGCCAACACCTGGATAATATTACGGCAGAACGTTGACATTTGGAACTAAACTAACCCATAATTATATATATAACACAGGTCCAGCAGGGGCTATCTCAATCAGTGATGCAACTGAGTTATATAACACAAGTCCAGCATGCATGGGCTATCTCATCAGTGATGCAACTAAATCAGTATATAACACAGGTCCAGCAGGGGCTATCTCAATCAGTGATGCAACTGAGTTATATAGCACAAGTCCAGCATGGGCTATCTCATCAGTGATGCAACTAAATCAGTATATAACACAGGTCCAGCAGGGGCTATCTCAATCAGTGATGCAAATGAGTTATATAGCACAAGTCCAGCATGGGCTATCTCAATTAGTGATGCAACTGAGTCAGTATATAACACAGCTCCAGCATGGGCTATCTCAATCAGTGATGCAACTGAGTTACGTTATGCATTGTATAATAAGAACTAAAATGTGTACGTGCATGTTATAAGGCAATTCACTTTCTGACAAGTCCAGACGGCAAGACTAGACATCTTGACAAAACGGAAGAGGCAAAACAACGATCTTTGTCAGCGAGGAGTATGAATACAATATAAGTAACAGTTTAGAAATCAGTGCATGTATATATAGAATTAAAACAGATTATTCAAAAGCCTTGTCTTAAATTCAAATTCGGTTTCGTATAGATGCAATTTAGAAAGCTCAAGAAAGTTTTCAAGAAACAGCAATATTATTCAATATTGCTTATTAATTTTTTTTAAAGATTCTATCGCTTGCAACTCGTCGTTAACCAACTAGGATATCTAAAGAATTGATGCCATATTGTATAACCTGCGTCAACACACAACAATATTTCAACAATCTTGGTTAAATTTTAATTAAACATGCGTCAGACCACGGAAAACATGAAGACGTGACTCGATCGTATAGGTACAAGTGTTAGGATGAACGCGCTTACACGAATAAAAGAAATATTGTTTCCGTAATTGCTCCATGGAGCCAAGATCCTATCTACTGTGACGCAGCATTCTCGAATCATCACACTAAATCACATGCACGTTTGGATAGATTGTTGTTTTTAATTCTTTCCATTCTTGATATCATTATTTTTAGTGCTAAGATGTACTATAGGGACGTGAACGATTTCCTGCGAGAAAAACAGTGTACGCGTGAAAATACTTCATTAAATCAACAAATTTACTTCAAAAGCCCAAGTGTTTTGTTAGATTTGAGTACATGATAAAAAACTGATAAGGCTAACCAGACAGATAACGTTGACTCAGTTCCCCAGTTCGCGTATGTTAACATTAATAAGAGAATAGGTTGGATATGATATAGTACCCATGTATAAATTACACAAAATAAGTTTAGTATATACAGGTTCCTCGTGTATTAATATATGGATCACTAAAAGTTGATCTTTCTCGAACTTTTACGATAATAGTAAGAGCGAGCAGTTTAAAACAAACTCCAGTTCATTAATCCAGTTCTCAATTTGTACCTGGTAACGCACGAGTGATAAGGCGAACAACATCATATCTTTTTTTTCACTTATCATCGCGCATGTTCCTATTAGTAAATTGTCATTTGTATACGTGCCAGTTGGTATATATAGCTTATTATGTAGCACATGGTTCAGTTCATCATAAGAGGTTTACGAGTAAGCATTTTCAGAGTTCTGATCATTCCAAGGTGGGTATGAAACATATAATGATCCATTTTTAGGACTAGATATACATGACAATAATAGAGACGGGAGAACATTTAAGTGATATTTTTCATATTAAAAATTTATAATCCCGTTATTTGTTCAACGAAATTATCCAGTGGGCGATTTTTCTTTAGTATCGACTCTACACTAGTATTTATAATCAGTAGAAAATTTAACATTTAATACAAGTCATAGATGATAAACAGCAGAGAAAATTAGCGAATTCAATACACGGAATAGATAGAGAGCAAGCTGCAGTGTTTCAATGTTTCGCGCTCTAAAGCCCGCGGATGAAACGGGAGTGCATGAGAGTCAGGCGATCTTGGTTAGCTGTTCTTAATGCTTTCCCAACATACATCGTGTATTTTATTGAAGTTAAAACGGAACACTCGTCAAACCTTTATTGACCTTGAAATGTTTCGTTTGAGTGCGCTTTAACCGCTTGCATGTTCAACTGCATGTGTGTGAATTTCTCTAAAAAGTAAAGTGGCCACAGATGTCTCAATAGGGCCATTTAAGTACGAGGCCATGCAAGTAAGCCGCGGCCCCTTATTGCAAGTTGAATTGTTTATATACGAGTCGGTTCGCGACTTATTAAAGTGGGCATATTTTCGCCCGGCCTATAATTTAGACTTTATAGTCTTAAATTAAATAATTCTAACAATCAACCAATTTTATTATAACGTATTTTCGAGACATTTATAACAAAGTCAAGCGTGGTATATTAATGTTTAATAGAATTTTAATCTTTTCTGCTTATTGCTATTTGCTCATGTTCATTTGCATAAAATCTATTAAACAAACTTAACATGCATGCAATTTAATTTTAATGATTTGTCCCAATATAGAGAGTAGAGTACTATAATCACACAAACAGACAACTTACATGCAAAAAGCGACATAGCTCGAACATTGACGGTGTTATTTTTTAGTCTAATTTGAAAGATAATTGAAAACTGTAGAATAACTTCTTTGACAGATTTTTGTTTTCTTGCTTTGTTTGAAGATATTTCATTACCTCCGCCAGGAGGTTATGTAATCATCTGGGTTTGTATGTGTGTGTGTGTGTGTGTATGTGTGTGTGTGTGTGTGTGTGTATGTGTGTATGTGTGTGTGTTTGTCTGTGAGCACGATAACTCAAGAAATACCAAACATATCCGTACGAAATTTTTTGAATGCATTTCCCATCGGCTAAGGAAGAACTGATTAAAATTTGGTTGAATTTGGTTAAAAATTGAACGAGAAATGAACAAAATTTTGTCTTGCTTTTCCCGGTCAATTAACAAAATATATTACTGAATGCGTAATTAGGACGTGTATAATTTATGCACTCAGTGCTAAGACAGTAATGAGATGATAAACCTCATTAAGCTTCGGCCTTCATTATCTATTGTCTTAGTTGCATTTCACGCGACCGAAATTCAATGTCTAAAACAAGGCTTACGGAGTTACGCATTATTACGTTCAGCAAAGTGCCAGTCCATTCAAATTCTAACAAATTAGATTACTTCAATACAGGGTGTATAAAAAGAACGCAACCTCGGAATTTCCCAAGAAATCGACATTGTTTTAAAGACAAAAGATTTTAGCTGCCTGGGAATTTAAAATAGCACAACTGTGAAAATTACTGCACGCGCGAGTGCATAAAGCAAAATTTATGCATTTATTTAATGACACTTAATAAGTTTTTATTTTACAAGTACTGTACAGTACAACAACAGTAATATGTTCTATTAGCAATTCGATTTCAATTCGCGGGGGCCTGAAATCTTTTATGCTTAAGAATTATAAAGTGGATTTCTTAGGAAATTCCAAGGTTGCGTTTCACTTCCGAGTAACGGGCGGAGGTATGCAGTCTCTGAGTGCCCTCTAGTTTTGTATGATACGCAAAGGACCAACTTTCTACGTCACAGATGCATAATGATTTAGCCCTAAAAGCTGTATATCTTTAATAGGACTAAACACAATCAGTAGAAAACCTACTTGGATGTTGTTGTGGACAAATCTCGTGCTCATTCATTTTGAGCGAATGAATTAGATAGTGACAAAATTATCTAACATTTTAAAGTAATTATTACCTCCGCCAGGAGGTTATGTAATCATCTGGGTTTGTATGTGTGTGTGTGTGTATGTGTGTGTGTGTTTGTCTGTGAGCACGATAACTCAAGAAATACCAAACATATCCGTACGAAATTTTGTGAGTGCATTTCCCATCGGCTAAGGAAGAACTGATTAAAATTTGGTTGAATTTGGTTAAAAATTGAATGAGAAATAACAAAAGTTTGTCTTGCTTTTCCCGGTCAATTAAATAAAACTTTATACTGAATGCGTAATTAGGACGTGCATAATATATGCACCAGCCATTCAAATTCTAATAACAATAGATTACTTCAATAGTTTGCGCGTAGGCGGAGGTATGCAGTCTCTGAGTGCCCTCTAGTTCATTATGCATTTGTGACGTAGAAAGTTGGTCCTTCGCATATCATACAAAATGAAATATCTCCAAAACGAAGCAAGAAAACAAAAATCTGTCAAAGAAGTTACTCTATATTCGTTAAAAGGTTTGAATCCAGGTTCATTCATTTTTTGTTTATTTTATTTGTTCTTCTAGATTATTACAAAATTAAATAAGTTTTGTCTGAAGTTTCAGTTTCCTATACGAAAACCATTTTCGAAGACTTGAACGTTTATTTTGTAATAATCTAGAAGAACAAATAAAACAAACAAAAAAAGTTACTCTATAGTTTTCAATTATCTTTCAAATTAGACTAAAAAATAACACCGTCAATTTTCGAGTCATATGTCCTTCAATTAAGCCAATTTTCCACTTGGACCGTATCGTAACGTACCGTGGCATTTTCTTTTGTGTTGAAGTCATTAGTTCCACTCTAGTGGTGAGGAAACAAAGAAATACAGCTACGCTACGATTGAAGTGGAAAATGGCTTTACTTGGGGAAAGGAACAGGATTTGCGTCTTATCAATATTAAACTCGATTTTCCGAAGTCTTTTTAGTACTCAATTAACTCACAACATTTTGAAAGAAATTTTTCGAAGAAATTTAGTCCCACATGAAGAAGTTTTAACAAGTTTACCCTGCTTGTGGCGTCATCAAAAACTCAGTTAATTAGGTCAATTATAATACCAAGATGGCGGACTGTTTTTGGTCAAAATATTTCGAAAACCATGCAACCAAGGCACGAAAAAGTTGTAAAGGGTCTTCATATAAAACTTTAAAAGTTCTTTCAAATAAGACAAAGTTAATTTTTGGTGTGGTGTCTGACAAAAATAGGTACGCTAAGTGTTCATATATCAAACGAAAGTGTAATACTCCACAGAAGTCCATCTCCATTGTTTTTTGCGTAAGCTCTATTCGTCATGATTCGTCACTCAGCAAGTACCGTAAACAGAAGCAGTCACCCCCCTGGAAATACTAAAAATGGCGTACGTCCAGGGGGGGTGACTGCTTCTGTTTACGGTACTTGCTGAGTGACGAATCATGACGAATAGAGCTTACGCTAAAAACAACGGAGATGGACTTCTGTGTAGTATTCTGTGATGTTGTGGAAGTGGCCTCTCCGTGGAGTCGGACCTCTGCATCTGTTGCTCTGTAGCTGATTATGTTGGATTCCCCCAACACACACACAACTTTAGAATTGAAACACTCAATTAAACGCTCTTTATGAAGTTGATCAGCCTTCAAAAGATGAAGCCCTCCTGAAAGCATGTTATTACAATGAAACACCGTCAATAATTGCCAAGTATCATACCAGGACATGATTAAGTTATGAGTAAATTTACCATTGTCACACAATGCAATTTGTAAGCGTGAAATAATTGATGTTTGTGATGTTACTCTGAGTGTGTATCCACACCGGGCAAGCTTGAAAAATATGCCTGGCCACAGTGGGAATCGAATCTACGACCTTTCGAATACTAGCCCAATGCTCTGCCAACTGAGCTACGCGGTCAGGACGGTCGAGTATGTGATATTTCAGAACTGAGTACTCAGGTGAATATGATGTTTGTGATGTTACTCTGAGTGTTGTTAACTCAGGCTACAGTGAAAATGTCATGTGTGCTATGGACTCTATTGGCAAATGTGATGAGTTATTACTAATATTGTTTGAATAAAAAATAAAATTAACTACTTAATCTAGAAATTTATCTACGACCTTTCATAATTAAAATATTTATGCATGTGATTGGGAGACCGGCTGCCTGCCATACTATCAGCATGATGGCAAATATTATCAAAATATTAAAATAGCAAAACGTTCAGACGCAAAACGAATTTTCTAAGTTTCTAAGGGTTACTGCAGGTAGCAATATATCTGCCGCACAAAAACTTCAGTGTCAGTTCTTGTAAAGAAACATGGATACAGCTTAAAAACAAATTTAAATTGGCAACAAATCCAAAAGTAAAACACAAGTGTTTCTTCGTCACGCCCGCGTGCTATTAACGCACCTTAAGTCCCTAATTATTGCTTTGACAAGCGCCATAGGATATTTTTATGTTTATAATCGAGATGTTGTTTTAAGGACAACTGTATAGACAGAGTGACGTACTTTGCGTACGAAAACGTATCCATTTTTTAGGTTTTTTTCCCGTTTTGTTTTCATCTTTACATGTTCCTGTCATGGCCGGATTTTGAAGGGAGGTTGTTGATCATCTTGCACCTCCCTTGAGAATTTTTACACCTCCCCTGAAAAGTCATGCACATTCCCTTGGGAAACTTTCAATGATAGATCAAAGTGAAAATTTGACATTTTTTGGTTGCTTAGGGTCTACATTTTTTTCTGTAAAATTGAAACAGTGATAGCCATTCATCTCTGTGTCAAGTATGCTTTGAATGCAATATTTTGAAAGAAACTTTGTAGTAATTGTAATGAGTTGTACAGTCATAATTCACTCATACATATGTACACTACATGCATACGTCACGTCGTTGACTCTGGCCTGTTCTAACTTTCCATGGGGAGAGCTAGACTGCTGCACCTCCTCTATTTTTTTCCATCTCCCCACTATTTCCACCAAAATCCGGCCTTGGTTCCTGTATTGCAGTTTAACAAGTCTCCTATATTGAAGGATCCTCACAGGTTTTCTGTTTATCTTTATTATTTTAGAAATAGCAAGCATGCAGTCCACTGGTGTACAAGGCAATGAAGTTTTATCGTACATATTTGGCATTTTGGCGATCGTTCTTAATGGCGTTCTTTTAGCTTCAATGTACAAAGAAAGAAAGAAGATATTTGTCACAAGAATTTCATTTCTTGTTGCCAACCTCGCTTTTGCAGATTGTCTGAGTGGTTTATTTCTCATCGTACTAAAACAGCCTATCAAAGAGATCGAGTACACGAGTGACGCTCGGTTGCTTACAGAACTTCCATTAATCTGGACTGCATTTTGCGCGTCCTTTCTCACTTTATTCCTCATGGCAGCGGAAAGATTGGTTATTGTCACGTTACCATTGGCGTGGTCAACATTATTAACGATCCCTCGTTCACTGCTTTGTATTCTCGCTGTCTGGCTCCTCTCAATCGGCGGTGGAGTGGCCATTCACCACAAACGATACTACGCGCAGTTCTTCATATGTTTAATCGTGGAAATCAGCGCTCTGTGCTTCATTGCAACACATATTTATATTGTATGGTTGTTACAACGAAGAGAAAAACACCGTATGGTTGTCAACCAAAACTCGTCCCAGGACACCCCCTGTCTTCCAACACCTCCCAATGAAAATAATACTCACACTCACAGAAAAGTTACCATTGTCGTCACCATTCTCCTGTCCGTGTTGATTGTCACGTGTGTGCCTTACTTTGTCTGCTTACAGATGTTCACAATTAATAACACTTTTGATAAAACTTTAGCAGAAAGAGTCAACTTAGAAATATTTGATAAAGCATTGGTGTATACGCATGCATTTCTTTATGTGAATTTCTTTATGAATCCCATAATTTATGCTTGGCGTTTAAGGATGTATCGAAAGGCTTTTTACAGTCTAGTGGGACGAAGCACGTCGTAATCTCAAGTACGCAGGGCTAGAAATAGAAACATCATATGGCCTGATAGTCTTTTTTGAAGGTCAAATTAATTATTGCCTGCAGATGCTATAGCTGAACTTCAATATTGAATTTGTATTGTTGAAATTTTCAGAATGAGTGCTTTCTAAATTATAACACAACACTCACGCCAAAACAAACGTGTCCAATTTCACCTGACATTCCGATTTGACAGTTGCAAATTATTTTTATTTTATTTTTCTCAAACATGGCCAGTTTTTGGCCATTCCCTGGCTGCTATTTTGGCCATATGCAGACGGCCATTTGCTGCTTTTAACCATTGGCAGACATCTATTTCGAGCCCTAGATTTCAAACAGCTTAGAAATTTGTAGAAGAGCCTGGTTTTCTTAAGCCTGGTTTTATTTCAATTTGGTATATAATTACGCCCCTAATTCTCTAGTTGTGAGAGGCTAACGTGTTTAAATATTAGGAGTGAACCTAGATATTCTGGGAGGGAGAAATTTTCCTTGCAAGAATTTTTTTCAAAATTTGGAGTTTTGTCGAACTTTAATTTTTACGGCTTAGAAGCCGTGCGGGAACTTATTCTATACATTTCAGAATATTCCATGTAGTTGCAGGGATTTTTTCCTGTCCATAAATGCTTGGATGACTTTCAACTTTCACACCTTGCATGATTTTTTCAGAGATCTCCCCCCCCCTCCCCACCAGGACGGTCCACTCCTAAAAGGTGCATATGTATATGCAAGTATGATATCCTTATTATTGCCTAGATTGCATAATAGACCATGCATTTTTCTTGTTTTCATTCTTTGTGATGTTGACTAAAATAGTATAGGCACTATATAGTAAATATTGACTGCTGCTGGACTTTAATAAACTACTTAAACTAATGATGTAACTGTACAATAATTCAACTCAAACTATATATTCAAGTATGTCAAGTATGTAACTAGTACTACCAGTAATACTCATAGTGGAGCAAGTTATGAAAGAATTTTCTTTATTTAAATATTAGAATAAATTGTAGAAGAATTTACTGTTCAGTATGTCTAAAATTATTATCTGTCTTCACACACTGTCGCTATTTTGGTTAATCTGTATGGTTGTTTAAAACCTGATAAGGTTCATCCCAGGTTAGAATAATATCAAGCTGTTTCCGTTGTGTTTACGAATTATTGTTGATTAATTCATCCTTATCACAGTACTCATGAACAAATAATTGTTGTTTGTATTTAAAATAAACAATTGCAGATGAAAATATTGCCCATATACTCACGTCAAAGCGAGTCCATGAAGGTTACAACTAACGTGACGTTAAATAAACGTGATTGATTGATCAGATTAGAACTTGTCAAATGAACAAATTAGAACTTGTCAAATGAACTGATTAGAACTTGTTAAATGAACTAATTAGAACTTGCCAAATGAACTAATTAGAACTTGCCAAATGAACTAATTAGACCTTGCCAAATGAACTAATTAGAACTTGTGAAATGAACTAATTAGAACTTGTGAAATGAACTAATTAGAACTTGTGAAATGAACTAATTAGAACTTGCCAAATGAACTAATTAGAACTTGCCAAATGAACTAATTAGACCTTGCCAAATGAACTAATTAGAACTTGTCAAATGAACTAATTAGAACTTGTGAAATGAACTAATTAGAACTTGCCAAATGAACTAATTAGAACTTGCCAAATGAACTAATTAGACCTTGCCAAATGAACTAATTAGAACTTGTCAAATGAACTAATTAGAACTTGTGAAATGAACTAATTAGAACTTGCCAAATGAACTAATTAGAACTTGCCAAATGAACTAATTAGACCTTGCCAAATGAACTAATTAGAACTTGTCAAATGAACTAATTAGAACTTGTGAAATGAACTAATTAGAACTTGCCAAATGAACTAATTAGAACTTGCCAAATGAACTAATTAGACCTTGCCAAATGAACTAATTAGAACTTGTCAAATGAACTAATTAGAACTTGTGAAATGAACTAATTAGAACTTGCCAAATGAACTAATTAGAACTTGCCAAATGAACTAATTAGACCTTGCCAAATGAACTAATTAGAACTTGTCAAATGAACTAATTAGAACTTGTGAAATGAACTAATTAGAACTTGCCAAATGAACGAATTAGAACTTGTCAAATGAACTAATTAGACCTTGCCAAATGAACTAATTAGACCTTGCCAAATGAACTAATTAGAACTTGTCAAATGAACTAATTAGAACTTGCCAAATGAACTAATTAGACCTTGCCAAATTAACTAATTAGAACTTGTCAAATGTCATTAACCAACATGAAAGTGAGTATAGGTGATATTTTTATCTGGAAGTGTTCATTCTTAAGGCCCGTTTACACTTGCAATTCTTGTTGCGATTTATCTGCCTCGTCCCCAGTCGCTTGCTATCAAACAATTAATTAGGAAAAGACGAAAGTTAATTTCCTTTGCGCGCTCGTCCTTAGTTGCGGGCGTGCGCCTATAGGCGTGCGTCTTTATCGGGCTTGCAGTGCACGCGCTGATCTATATATTACCGATATTTAAATTTGATCTATATAGAGGAGCCTGCGGAGGAGGCAGGCGATTTATAGTGTGAGTTTCCACTTGTGATGGATGTGAACGAGTAGATGAGTTGTTCTACGTGTATGTAACCTCATCTGAACAACTTATCCACACGATTACATGAGGAAAATCGCAGCAAAAATTGCAAGTGGAAACGATGCAAGCGGTAGTGATACAACATTGTAAGAAACGTCGACTTTTATTTCAAGTAAATATTCAATATTTTACCGAGGATTAGTGCTTTGTAGAGTTCAACAACGCTTAATACCTGCAGAAATGTCATGAATGCCCTACACCAGTTATCACCGAGCCTGCAGTGAGTATAACTTAGTGTACACAGTGGTTTTGTGCTTCACATACTTCATGTATTTACAGTACAAAGGGCTTTTGTCAAACGTAATTAATGTGAGATGACGTCACCCACCAGAGACTATGGTAATTAAGAACTATACGAGCAGTTAATGAGAGTTTTAGATTATCATTGAATTAGGTAAAAATTATAGGACTAATTACAAGCTGAATATGATCACCATGCAGGATAGTTATGCACATTACGACTTAATATTGATCTAACATCTGCAGTAAAGCGCAGAGCATCCAACATTGGTAAAATATTTAACAGTGCTGTATCTGATGGATCTGCGAACCAAGATTTTATAGGAATCGCATTATCTAAATATAAAAAACCTGCGTTATATATGACTGCAAGCATGATATGTTATCACAGTTTGTACAAACTACAAACACAGTGAACATCATTGTCTACATGTTGTTTAAGACTGCAACTGAGCTTGATCATAACTGTCTCACTAACTGTGGACTGGTGTACAATCTGATATTTCAAAAGTTCCATGAATTGTACTACATATTAAGACTTCCTTTCTGTTAAACCTGACTACCTTAAGTACATTTATTAAATACTCGCTTATTATTAATTGCATCAAAGTTAGGAGAACAACCACACATACAGTACGCTGTGTTAGGTTTTAAAATTTCCACCAGTCTTAAAACAGACTAACTACATGATGACCGTCTATATTCTGTAACAGAACACTCTATCATGTTGTATTTTATCCAGATAAAAATTTTTATCCAGATAAAAATTTTTATCCATATAAATATCCAGATTTGGGGTAACAGAGATTTATAATATTTCAAGTTATTAACCCACTATATGTAACCACAGTTAATAAAATAGGATTAAATCCTATTTTATTAACTGTGATGTAACCTTGCATATTATTTATTGGAATTTTTTATTATTTGAAAGTTCTATACAATGCTGGACTACTGATTTAAATATACACTATTTTGGCAATTCTTTATAGGTATTAACAATATACAGGCCTAATCCTTTCTGGGGGCACTTGTGAGAAAGATTGCCTGAATTTGTAATGGAGGATTGTAATAAAATGACCTGAATTTAATATATCTCCCAATATACAGTAGTTGCCCACATTTTGTTGATTCATTCCAGCATTTCCCTGAATTTCTCCTTGGTTCATAATTTTTTATGGAGGCAGTTGCGTACGCCTGTTAACATATGCAAGCAAAAAAGCTTATAGAGGATGGACAAAATTTGGCAATTTCTATATTGCAAGAACTCTCTGAAATCTTTATAGGATTAGCTTTTTGGCAATGTGAATTTACTAATTTATTTATTTAGAATATATGACCGTGAAAGTTTTGGAAAAACTGATTTCAAGGTGTGTACAACATTCGTATTCCAATATCTTGAGATTTCAAAATACTGCACAAGTTTCTTCTTTTTTTTGGATAAAAATTATTTTCCATCAGTGTTTGCAGTGTTGTAATGTCCCTGACACCATTACAATGACCTGGCTGCCTATTGTAAGTCAAGGAAAGTAAAAAAGTGATACCTTTATTATTCATATATGCTCCAGGAGAATTATCCAGTATAAAAATGCTTGATAAATCCTCATTGATAATGGAGAGATCTTTAATATATGTCCCAAAATGTAAGGTGCAATGCTAGAAAGGAAATTAAACATTGTCTTTTGTTTATTTACAACTCTTGACTGTTTTTTGCTTGGGAACGTTTTTTGTACTTGGTTGTAGTGTACCTATACGCCTTTCAAATAAACCACAAACCCAGTACTTCCTACATGAGTTACACAATTAGTCATGCACATTGAACTATAAATAAACTGGAAGGCTAACTCAGGGGGGGGAATTGAAGCCAGTGCATTTTAGTTTTTCTGAGTTATGAGCAGAAATACTCAACACTGAACGTTGGGCTATATATCAAATTGAAGCTATTGAAAAACTCTATTTGGTGTAGAAATTTCAAGACTTTAGCTAAAAGGGAAATATTGAAAAACTACAAACATAATTACCGATAATTTGCCGTTTTGCAGTTGTTTTTGTATTTTTTAAAGATTTTTCTTTTCGCTGAAGTCTTGAAATTTCCTCACCGAATAGCAATTTTCAATAGCTTCAATTTGATATATAGCCCGACGTTTGGGGTCAAGTATTTCTGCTCATAACTCAGAAAAACTATTCTGGCTTCATCAAATCATAGGCCTTCATCATAGCAGTTAGCCTTCCAGTTTATTTATAGTTCAATGGTCATGCATCAATGACTCAGAATATACACAGGAACAAAGAACACATTTTCACTTACATGTCTGAAATATCTTCTAGTAAAAAATCCCTTATTATTATCAATTTTATCTGTCACAGCCATTCCATATCTCTGGAAAGAATCAGTTCTTGATATTAATTTCTGCCCAAAGCATGATGCAGTCTAAGCAAAATGTTCCAGTGCACAAGATTGGTACAGTATGTATGATAAAACTTACCTCTAAACTTGCTGTAAAAACTACCAAGTCAAACCATTGACAAACCTGAAATGGCATTTTAAAAATCAGAAAAAATCACGGCACACTAGGGGCGATACCAAATATTAATTTCAATACCACTTGAGTCTGCGATATGTTTGGTCAGCATTTATAAAAAACAACGACATTTTGCACTGTATGCAATATTTCACAAATAATGTAGGGCTATATGAACTCATATTTTCAACATGAATTATGAATAAGGATAGACTATAGTTCATGATCACTTTTATTAAACTTGATGACGTCATTGCTGTTTTATAATATTGTGACATCATCATTTATTAAATTGAAGTATATTTCTATAGAATAGATTTCCTATAAGAATTGTTAAGGAAGTTGCATTTTTCTACGGGAATTTTCTGTAAGGTGCTAGGCAATCTTAGAAGTTTGTGGGCACAACATCAAACTTGTAGATAATGACACAGTGCTGATGTATAGATTATTTCATTGTAGTATAAATTATATAGAAATTAAGGAATGAAGCCACTTACCAGCCCTAAGAAAAAGTCAAGATGTGGTCTTTTATGAACAAGAAATCTCACTGTCTGATGCTCAACTGTGACCTGGCAAAGAATAATAAAATGTTAACAGTTATATGGTACTATATAGCAGAATGGAGATGTTAATTTAATATATACATACCCGTAAAACAAAATCTGGTGGCATATTGGGATAAAGTGATTTTCGACCAACCCTTTAATAAAGTAGAATTGTATTAATTAAAGCCAATGTGAAGACAACTACATATTCATGAAACTGAATACGGTTTGCAATGCAAATTTTTGTCTTTTTTCAAGTTAATTATTGGCAGTGTTAACAACGTACCCATCTCGTTGCGAATGTATTAGCGTTTCATCCAAATCTAAGACAAATATCTTTCTTCTTACTAGTCCTAAAAATGATCACATTTTTTAAATGGGTGAGCAAAAAAGGAAATTTTAATATTATACAATAAGAATTTGTCACATTTAAGCCACATCTGTAATATTAACTCATTAAAACTGCAATGCACCCAACTGCACCTTACGATATTCAGTGCCGTAGCCAGAACGATAATTGGGGGGGGGGGGCACATATTCATATATTCGTGTTCTGCTTTATTAATTTATTTTGAAATCAATTGTTTTTATGATATGTAAACACGAGTATATGAATATGTGCCCCCCCCCAATTATCATTCTGGCTACGGCACTGACGATATTGTTATATAATTAGTGTCAAAATTCAATTTTTCTGTTTTCCAATTCATGGACAAAAGTGTATCACGTGCTGGTCCGCAAAACGCTGTGTTTACTGCATTGACCTGGCAATGAGGCAACCAGTCCATAAAGAACTTTTATTGACTGGTCAACAATAGAATGGGTACAGTGCACATGCAGGAACTTCACGGTACCGTGAAGTTCCAAAGTTCATTTTATTAAATTTTTTTATTAAACATTTATCAGCATTTTGGTTTCAAAGTTCACTCCAATAACCAGTGAATTATTCATACTTTGACACTCATATACTATATAACAAAACACTTATTTACTGAGACCTCGGGGAAGCAGTGTGTTTTGTGGCTTCATTAACCACCGTTGCGGCCCTCTGCTTCGCCTCGGGTCTCAGTAAATAAGTGATAATTATGTCACCATGTTTTATGCCAAATGATTGATACTTACGTAGTCTTTGCTGTGACAATGGAGATAATTCAAATGTGGAATATCTTATTGTTTGATGCTCTATAACCTAAAGGAATAATATTTATAATGTAAGATACTGTATTAAATACTAATTGTTATATTAATCATTAACAAAATAATTAATATCAATTATTATTTCACACCCTATATACAACTAAATACGTCGTTTAAAATATTCATTGATACAAAATGTAATTACAAAACGGTTTTGTTATGCATGGCAAGTTACAGCTGTAAACAAGTCAAATTTTTGTATTTTTAATAACCGATGCTCAAATGTTGCATAAACACCGCAACATTGCATCAAAAACAGTATTAAACAACAAGTATTATATGTTATTAAAAATATATTGCTTAAATAAACAAAACTCACTTCGCAATTGCAATACATATGAATTTCCAACTAATTGAAATAGTTTTAATTGGACTTACTGTTCTCATATTTCGCTTGAGTACATACATAAGCAATGTCCATAATTTCACAAAAATTGTCATAATTCTGCGACAGTTAGGCAGTGGAATTATTTCTTTTAAGCTCTTCAAAGCCATAATGAGCTCCATACGACATTTGCATGAGAGAAAATAAGGTATTTTGACTTTATTTGGCGCGTTCTCTTCCAACTTTTGAAGAAATACTGAACAAGAAGTGCATTCATAATTTCATAGCGTGCTTCCACTTGCATACATTTCGTTTTCAAAACCGCGCAGCAAAAATGTCCCGAGTACTATTGCTGGTAGCCATGGAAACTGTAAACAAATGAAGTGAATTTTGTGAAAAAGACAAATATTGTTGTCAAATTTTGTTGAAAATGTCAGATTTTGACGACGAAGAAGGTGTAGATGAACCTGTTTTATACGATGATGATGAGGAAGACGATGCAGACGAAGAAGTGAGTGGAAAGTGGCAACGCTCTTGCCTTCTTGGCTTCTTGTTTACGTGGTTCAAAGCATCTAGATTTCTTTCTTTTGTGGAAAACACCACGTTAGTTTGTTTCATATAAAATTTTCGACCTGTAAGTGTGGATCTTCATCAGTGTGAATAATATGATGAAGATCTGGGATCGAAATATTTGCAGAATTAACTGATAAGCATGGTGTTTCTTTTTTTATAAAATATTTCAATTAAATGGTACAAAATTGGTACTTTACAGTTTAGTGTGGGATTCAAGTGATGGTGTGTATTGTAATGGTGTGTGTGTGTCAGAAATACTGATACAGAAGCATGGCCTGTCAGTGTCAGACAATGTACCAATTAATAGATCAATAAATGAAAAAGCCATTTTTATAATTTAGAAAGTTCCTGAGAATCCATTGACAGAAGAAGTGCTAGCCGAGTCGTTGTCATTGTTGTGTAAGACTGGAAATGGCTTGGCTCATGCTTATGTGCGTTTGGATGTACATGATAGGTAATGCAAAGTTTCTCCATGCAAACTTATTACTGTGATCTGTATCATTTGTACCTAATTTGTAAAAAGATCACTAAATTCAGTGGTGTAGCCAGGCCGACAATTTAGTCCCACTATGCAAATTCAAAATTATTATTTATTTATTTAGAAATTGATTGTTTTCACTGTCAATGAACACAAAAATATTTGCATAGCAGGACTAAATCACACAAAACGTACTCCAAATAAAAACATCTTGTGTGCTCAAAATTGAAACATGTATAAAAACTCAGATCTTGAGTGCACAAGATGTATTCAGAGTATTTTTTTTCTTTATGTTTCAGAGATATGACTGACATAAGTATATTAAACTGCTTCATCCATCTCAGATATGTAGTAAGTAATTAATATTGCAGACAGAGAAGAAATTGAAACTTGCTGATCATGTACCTCTTGTAGATGACAATTAAAGCAAAAACCCAAACTCAATGAGTGAATTTGCATATACCTTGAGCCAGTATAATGAGCCACTATCCGGTTGCATGATTATTTGGCTATTTTAAAGCTTTATCTGCTCTCAAGCATATCAGCCTTTTCCAAAAAAAGATCACAGTGCATTCTGAGATTGTTTGAAGGGACAAAATATATGGTGACAGGCGTCAAATATGTGAAAGATTAGAAGTATCTAGTACTATCAAGTATCAACTTTTTAGACAACCAAAAATGAAATATCTAAACTTTTAATTTAAATGTGTGCTGCCATATTTCTTGTCCCTCCAACATGGGATTTGCACGACTAGACCCAGGACTTTGGGAAATCCAGTATCCCCTTAAGCCTTAGTATCCCCTAACCAGTACTCCGTTTTGTATGAAAGTGCTAATTGGAAATTAATTTAATAAATTTTAGGACATCAGTGGCAATCAACTAAAAGACATATCTTCATTAAGTTGTCTCACTCACCTGTTGACATTAAAAGCTGATAAGAACCAACTCACATCTGCAAGATTGGACAAAGTATGCATTTTTTTCAAATATATTGCTCTTCATGTTTTAAAGTGCAAAACATTCACCTTTTGATGAGTAAAATTATGTGGTGTTACCGTTTTAAACAGTGTAAAGTAACGAAGTAGGGTGCAGTGGGGCGTATTACAGCTTGTTAATAATCTTGCTAATTAATTACTAATTAGTAATATTAACTACCACTAACTGCTAATTAGTAACATTGCCAAATTCGTGTTAATAATGTTGCTAATTAATTACTGATTAGTAATATTAACTACCACTAACTGCTAATTAGTAACATTACCGTTAATAATCTTGCTTTATGTTTCCACTAGTTACCATATCTTCAGATTGCCAACTTTGCCAACAACAAGATTGAGGACACGAAAGGCATTGAACATCCATTGTTGGAAACCCTGAATCTTTCTTGTACGTATCAAACTCTTTTTTCACAATCAAGAAATTTTCTCATGTTTTGCGCCGCGTGATTCTCTTTGATCTTGACCTGAATCCCGTGGCGGAACACCTAATTATAACCAAATCTTAAATGGTAGGACGATTTCTTTGCGTTGTAGTTAATAATATTTATGAAGTGACGGACTTCGATCCAGCTGCATTGTCACGACTCACCACTCTGGAACTTCGCAATAACAAACTGATAACAACGAATGGTATTGGAACGCTACCGAATCTACAAAATCTTTACTTGGTAAGAGATTAGGACTAACCAGTTTATGGGTGCATGCGCAGTCATCAGGTAAAGCCTCTTTCACTTCGAAGATCGTGAATTCGATTGTCGTTGTTGACTCATGACACTTATGTGAAACAAGAACGTTGTGTTGAAAGTCGTGGATTTTCTCCCGTTTCCTCCCACAGGGAATGTTCGTGGGATAAATCCCAGCCGGACTAACTCTTCCAGTCGTCCGCCGTGCTACGTGATGAAACATGATGATTAACACTCCTCCTTTCCGATATAAAATATCTAAAATTCTGTATTATCACCTAGGCTGCAAACTCACTAAAATTCCTGGAAAATTTGGATCGAATGCAGCACCTTGTGTCTATTCATTTACGTGACAACCAAATTGAGAAACTGGATGGTTTTTCAGCGAACATGAAATTTGTTCAGTACTTGAATTTCAGGTGAAATACATGAAACATAAACAATTTCTGTTTAAGTGACAAGCCATTAATCTCTGGTAACTCCATGCAAGCAGACAATATCATCCATCACTTTCTCTCTGCTCTGTTCATCTTGTCTTAACTATTGCGATCTGTGATGCTCCTTCACTATCTACTTTCTCCGCTGTTTTCATTTACATCATTTCTTAATAAATTAATTTTCCATCTCTTGTCCTTTTTATTATCTTGCCAAGCAATGCCTTCCATCGCTTTTTTTCGTTGCCTGGAAAGTGTAGTAATGTTCCTCGGATCCTAGCTGAATTTGCCTGTTTCAAATCTTCCTCAAAAATGCTTAAAAACAACGGAAAATTCAACAAAGTATACTAGACAGTAACTTGCAATCAGGCCTATAAATAAAATAGAGCCTGATCTCAGGTTAACTAAACAGTATTTATGCTACATGTTTCAACTGACAGATAAGGGAGTATGATATAATGATTCCTTAACTCCATAATGTAGGTGTGAAAAATTGAAAATGTTCTTCAATTTTCTTGTTAAGGCAAGTGTACCTCAGGATCCCACTTTTCCCATTCCGTACCTTTTAAGCTATTTTGTATCCATTCTACCGTTTCATTATGCTCTTCTCACGCAATATTTCTTCACTTCTCTCATCAACTAATGAGATTACAATAAAATACGTTTCACATCTGCACATTATCTGCCACTTCGTCCCTGTTAAAATATATTTGGGAACCATCGAACTGACAACCTATATGCAATTCGTTTTAGAGGAAATAATATATCTGACATAAAAGAAGTTCAGAAGCTTAAATGCCTTCCATTATTACGAGCTCTTGTGTTAATGGGTAAGTGGATATCATCGCCATCCTCCTGGTTCAAGTTCCAACAAGTGTTATGAGATGATGCTCAATTTTGGAACTACTGCATGACACTTAACTAACTTAAGCCTATTTTCCACTAGGCGAATTTGTTCGCGCACAGCAAAAAACAAATCTTGGCAATGAATGTGATTGGTCAGCGAAAACATTCGTCGCGATAAAGTTGGATCAGTTTCTACTTTTTTACTGTTCGCGCGAACAAATTCGCCTGGTGGAAAATGAGCTTTAGAAGGGGCAAGAAAATGAAACTGTCAACTATTTCAACGATATCTATAATTTCTATTTATTTCCAAATACGTATAATGAAAAGAATTGTCATCCAAGCAAGTACTTAGTGAAAGCCATGTGTTATTTTCTGTTCCATAAGAGAACCCAGTAGCAGATGAAGACGACTATAGAATTGAGGTGCTCATCAGTTTACGACGCTTAGAAAGATTGGATAAAGATGATTACACTGAAGATGAAAGACAGGAGGCTGAGGAGGTATATCTTTCTCTTCCGAACTCATGTCAAGTATTAGTCTCCCGCGCATACCTACGCAGCGGTTTCTAGGCCCCGCGTGGCTGAGGAACCGCTCAGTAGATATGCGCAGATGCACAGGAGACTAGTCAAGTATCATCCTCGTTTCCAGGGCCTCTCGCCCTACCGGTACGCCCTGGGACACTGGCTTTAGTCGTCTAACCTAATTTTCAACGAGTGACCGAGCTCTGGGGACGAGAATAGTCAAGTATAGGCAATCCGTTTTTTGTCCAGTGTCACTGCAGGAGGAAACTGGTTCCTTGTCAGGAGGAAACTAGACAATCACATGTGTGATGAGGGTCTCCTAGGGAACAAGGGATATTTTGCAATAACGGGAAAGCTGAAAATCATAGCGAGGAACATGTAAGAAACATGGAGAAATCTTTTTTGTCAAGGCAACAAAGGAAAGCGGGAACTCAACTCATTTTAATATTATTTATATTGTGCATTTTTTGTTTTCAGATCCACGAGCAAAGAAGACAAGAGGCAGCCCTGGCGGTAAGTTAGATCATTACATGATTTTCTCTGCCACAGCCTGACGTTCTTTTGTAATGCAAGACGATGTTGTCGTGAACAAGAGACATTAATGATTCTATTTTTAGGACAACACGATGGAAGTAATAGCTGATGAAGATGATTAAAACAGCCGACGTTGACATGGAAAGGTTAAAACTGAACTTCTGTTCATCAAATGCTGTTTTAACAAAGATTTAACTGGATAATCTAATACAATAATTTGATGAGTGTGGATTAGATTTTTTTTTCTTGATGGTAGATTATACACCATTGGCATTGCAGATACTGCATGTAAATATTCTTTCGTATTGTGATTTGTGTAAACCTAGTTTAATTCTTGTTTGTACAATATAATTTGTCTCTTTCTTCCAAGTAAAAATAATTTATTTTTAAAATTCTCTAAAATATACATGTTTCTAAAACTCCTTTCATCGACTTCGCAACTTCCGTCTGCTTTGAGTAGAAACTTTAGGAGGTTTCCCTTTTTTCTTTGCTTTATAAAACTGCCTTTTATCACATTTCTTGCCAGTATGAACTCCTTTCACATGACATGCAACGTGAACCAATTTCAAGTTTTTCTTCGTGAACAAAAGATCATAAAAATATGGCCAGTTTACTTCACTGCCTTTTGGACATTTTTTCGCTACTTCAGCTAACGTTGGTAAAACTTCTCTGGATTTTTCAATGCTACAAGGATGGAAAAATGTTAATGCCACTATCATCACAGACAGATCAGTTTAACAATTGAAATTTCTGATAGAAAGGAAAGTGCTTCAAAATGTAGGCAAGTCCTGAAGATTATGGAATAAATAGATGTTATATTTTGAAAGACACTATATAGAGAGTAATTTCTTCCAAGGTTGGTATTTGCAATGCTGTATCATGATCAATTTCAATTTAGTGTGTGTTTATTACTACCAACTATTTAAATTCTGTGTGCAATGCGCAAACTACTTGGATCTTGGGATATAATGCGCATCCATGTCCTTTTAAAACAATCTGTGTGAAGTGTAATTGTTTATGTAGTGTGGTATCTCCTATCATGTGTTGTTGCTAATTTTCTGTCACTAAACACAGTATGAAGCGCCCACAGTCATTGGCTATCCACTGTTGCAGCATCCTTGCTACCTTTTTTATGTACTACTCTTGTATTTTATATAACTATATATGAGTTTTAATCTGTGATGAAGTTAATAAATCCAAATAACTTCAAACCTGATAGTCACTGCTGATCATGCATTTAGAAACCTATATTAATTGTTCCCAACCAATTAGCATTGAGTTCAACAAGAATTACATACTTACACATGATCTAGATTCCAAGTACTAAAAACAATCCTAGCTTCTTTGGATCCATATGGATTGATAGAATGACTTTCTGCACACAATTTTTTATCAAATTTTCCTTCACACTTAAACCAGCCAAGCTTATCACAGATTTGAACATCTTTCTTAATAGCAGAACGAGCAAAATATTCACCATTGTAATCATTTAAACGTAACTCTTGACGCAAAACATCCAAAAGTGAAAGGATATGTTGACCAGAACTCTGAAAATATTTCAAATAAAATTTTTAATCAGGAAGCTCTAGTCATTTAACTCATTTTATGTTGTTACTCAAAATGCTTTAAAATCATTTTAATGCAAATACTTAACCTGTTCTAACACATATTCCCTTGTTTTTTGATAGTAATTTCTAATCCTTGTCTTGGCACCATCTTTCATGACATCTTCTTTAGTCTCATATTTCTCAGGCAATCCATTAAACCAATCACTATCTTCTTGTCGAGTTTCAAGCTGTATTTTTGCATCAAGTGAAGAGATGTAATCTAGCAATGCTCTGTTCACAACTTCAGAATTCTCTCCACTCAAAAACTGCTTCACTTTTTCTGATATGTTGCATTGGCCTTCAGCAAGTTTCTTGAAAATTCTTTGGGTGAGTATTTGGAGCTGTACAAAGTCTTTCACAGAAAAAAATTAACAAGTTTAATTTTGAGAAAACATGTGTAGAAATAGATCTAGTTGTAAAAAATTCAGTTCAATTTTTAATTTAACATAGATAATTGCTTTATAAATACTTAATAAATTTACTGGTCTGCAGTTATATACAATGAATATTAAATACAATGCCAGTTCCAGTTCACCTCGCGCTGCAACGCTTGGTCGTCATACCTGCATCAAACCTCAGCAGCTTTAATTAAACCTACCCATTTCAAGTTTTTCTTTATAAGGAGCGCGAAATGTGAAGCATGTTTGTGGCGGTAAGCGTTGAAAATACTCTTCTGTGGAAACTTTAGTACCATCATCTAAATGTGGCTCAAAATCATCGGATATAATATTCAATCGCTTGGCAGCTTGCTTCTTTAGATCTTTCAAATCTACAGCTGTAATACCCAACCGTCCCACGCCATTAACTTCCTGTATTTTATATGGCTTGGTCGTATTTGTTCCCATGAGAGTTTTTAAACGCAATATTTTCAAAGCAAAGGGATAAACAATATTCAAATTGCGATGTTTGGAATATATCTGAAATTGGACCCAAAATTTTCCACTTCGCCAATGAAAATTTCAAATTTCCTCTTAAATATTTTCTTTTAGTACAAAAGTCCGTAAACAAAGCCTTTGTTTACATTTTTGTGTCCAAAATATTGAGCTTTATTCGACAACTATTTATATTTTCAAGCTTCTAGAGTATAATAAATGATCAAGAAACAACAATCAGGCTTTTCAAGAACTCAAAACATAGTTAAACTGTTTGTATCATAAAAAGTGGGCTCATTTGTGCACATGCGCAGATCGGACTGTAGATCACTTTAATAGAAATACTATTTCTGTGAACTATGGTACAAGGTATTTAATGTACGACCTTAATTGTTGGAAACAACCAGCAATCATTGTACAGTATGTAACGATATTATTTGTTGGTTCATCACACAACTGTTCCTTCATAAGGTACATCATCTTTTGGTAGAGAATTGCCGAGGGTGCAGAATAATTGGCTCCCATATGACTTGCCGAGTGAATATCTTTATAAAGAAATCTTATTTGCCAGGGCTCTACCCTGGTTCCAGAGGCTCTTTGCGAGGTGAAAGAAACGAGATCTCGACTCTCGTTTCTTTCGCCTCGCAAAAAGCCTCTGGAACCAGGCTACCAGGACTCAAGCACTTCCTTTTCACGGGAAACCTTAGCCTTTCAAATAACGTTGTCCAGAGTCTGTCCTAGAGTTATTTCTCAAGCAAAAATTTATTTATTTCCATATTTCTGCATCTTTAGTGTATTTTTTTGTGATATAATCTTTAGAGATTCAACCTTTGATAGATTTTAAACAAGGCTCATTTCATGCTTAGTTTTATTGGATGTTCTACAAATATACAACTCTGACTGCTGTTTTAATATTATAATACCAGATTTACATATCAAAAGATTTACATCCCATATCCCGATTAGTAGAGCACTTGTGCTTGATTATAGATCAACACTCGAATAAAGTTATCATATATATATATAGGGGCCTTTAATATATATATATACGAATAACAAGAATTTGTTGTTTTGGAATTTGGAAGGTTTCAACACCCTGTCACCAGCCTTAGGTAGCTTGTTTTAAAGATGGAAAGCTAGCTCATTACTGGAAATCCTCTGCAATTCATTTTCAATCAACGTTTGAATATTGTATCAGCTGTAAATTAGCCTCCTCCGCAATGTCATGGAACAACGTGTAAATTGCAACAGTTGCTTAGCTACGGAACGTCAATTTCAAAACAAAGTTATTTGATATGTTTGTAGTTTCCTTGGAATTTGATCCTGTGTTAAAATGAAAGCTTCACAACTTCATTTGGTTACGAAATTTCGATAACGAAGTGCGAGGATCTTCACCGTAGGCTAGATAGTTTGGGAACGCATCGAGAATCGTGCTGTAACATTTACAGTCATTCCGAACGCCAAATCGTCGGTATTTTCCAAACCGGAGGATTTCGTCGTAGATGAACCGGTTAGCAGCTGGTTGTCGTGAAATGTAAAGTTTGATATAAAAATTATGCAAGCGGACAATGCCACCACTAGCTCTACGTGATATGCCCCAAACTCGGTAAGATTTCCTCACTTTCTTTCGTAAGGACTGTTTTTAGTGTTCAGTTCTAGACTATAATATATAAATATCATCAAATAGCACTTGGTTGTGTTGTATCAGAATAGCAGGTGATTATTTAATATATATATAAATTATCATTTAATACTTCGAGGCTTTAATACGATCTCAAACTACAAATGTAAGTGATGTCCGTGCCTGTTTCCCAAGCGAAACTTTAATAAAGCTTTCAATATTTAGTCCTGTACATCTCACGTGCGAAGCATAGATATCTTGGTGCGAAGTTATTCATGCCTGGATATAGCCTGCATTGGGCTGCTATGCAGACAAATTAAAGGTTTTGTCCATGACCCAGTCAGTACCTTAATTTATCTTTTGTCTTCACGTAGCAATCTTATTAAACATGCATTGCAATAGTCGAGCATTACACTTACACATATATTGTAAGACTTATTGTTTGCAGGAAATATAACATCTGTAATAAACCAGTTCCATTTTTTTCTTTCAGCTCACAAGAATTTGAAGTGGATGTTGAAAGACAATCAGTTGGAGATAAAAATACTGCCAAAGAAGTACCTACCCTTGTTCTAACTGTACCAAATGATAAAGATTCGTCAAGTAACTCCAAATTCCCTGCGAAAGATGGCAAACAATTTCTTCCTGTAAGGATATTTTCGATGAGTGTTTGGTCGTAGCTACCTACAAGAAAGTTCACAACCAGTATTAAGAACATGTTTTTTCTTTTTTCTACCAGCTCCCGTCATCCAAGTATCGCTATACAAAATGGCATGACATTGATCACATGGAAGTCAAAGGAAATATGTTAAGATCACCGAGAATCAGGAGAGGTATGTCTGTCAATGACCAGCAGAATCTTAGCGTAACTGAGGCGTTTTCACTGCTCAGAGTTAGATTTAAACGTCTTTTCCTGGGAGGCTTTGGAATTGATGTAGTCATGTAGAAAAACAACACAAGTATTTAAGACGTTTTCGATCCTTATAAAGAGCTGTTAAGCCTCGTCCAACACGAAGCAAGGAATAAAACAATATTTTCATCACTGACTCAACAGTGATCAGACCTTCAAGACAGATCAACGTGTTCCATTGTTGAGAGGGCAGGATCATTTCAAAATGATCCATGAAAGGCCTGCAACACAATCACGCTATGGATTGTCGTTGATGTGAAATGGCAACAGCACATGACAAACGAGTGCTTATACCTCCCAAAATTAGAGGTGCACCGGATGGACATTGTTTGGGGTACCCTAAAGAACTTGTCCTTGACTTTTATATTTCAGCGCCCAATGGCTACAATGTATCTACAATACAAGATGAAGAGACATCATCTCAGTGGAAGCGACGAAAAAGGTTGAGCTATCAAAATAAACTGGAATGTTGGGAGACATGTGAGGTAACTATATAGCACACATACTAATTGGAATCCTTACTGGAGCTCTAGGGAGAACAGTTCTGATAGAGCTACTATAACGCACCCTATAGAGTTTGGCAAATACTGTGTCCATGACAGCGTTGATTAACAATAGACTTTTAACAAAGACGACGATAAGAACATTCATTCATGTCCCAAGTACGTTATTTATGTCATGTCAACCCATTTAAATGAATGTGCCAACCTCTCAAGACGACGCAAACGATTTATTTAAGAAGCAAACAGAGGCAAATAAACGGCGACGCGCAACAGTAAAAACAAACTCCTTTAAATGATTGTTAAGAACCCTTGTGAAAATTTAATACAGTTTGAAGAGGTTAAGACGGGGTTAGGCTTGAGAATAGTTCTGCACAGTAAATAATTTAATTTGCTGAGTACCATATCTCGCAGCTGCAAATGCCGGTGTTTGAACACCCGTGCAATATTTATTTTTTTCTAAAATATCGAATCTCATGTATCGTGCCAATCATTTCAAAATTTATGTAAAATTTATGTATATTTCTAGGCTGTAAATCTCTCATTCCAAGAGCTAGGTCATTCTTTTCAAATAAAACAATTTCTCGCCGTTCTTCAAAAACTTATACGCTGCGAAAGTCTTCAATTAATGGACAATGGATTGACTGATCTTAGCAGTATCTATTTACCAAGGTTTGTATCAGTTTTCTTCATTATTATTGATGAAAATGTTAACATCGTGTTACCTCATGGTTTGAACTTATCGAGTCAACTGGGGAGGGCACATCTTTTTTAATATACTTTTACATTGGAGTGAATTGAAGGATCTCTTTATTTTTAGGTGCAAGTACCTTTGTCTTCAACGGAATTATCTATCTAATCTTAAGGTGAGTTTTTATTTAAAGGAGTAAGCTAGAGACGGCTCATCGGTCGTAGTATAAAGTCGAGAGACAGATTCTGGACGAACAAAGAAAAGATAGTTGGAGTTTGATAATCGGACCAGTATGATTGGTAGCTTGTTGTAGACATCACTTGCATGACATAGCCAGAGTACAAATCCCTCAGCAGTCATATCGTTTCCTGCGTGCATCGTCACTTGGAAGGCTTATATAGGTCATATCATTTTCGTTAGCAGTTTATATATAGCAAGCCATACGGTTACTTTAACTATACAATTTCTATCATTCTAGAAACTTCCTAAAGCACCAATGCTAGAACATCTTTCATTGCAACAAAACAATATCACATCCTTGGAGGGATTAAGCATTCTCAGGAGAACAACGATCATCTCATTAACATTACGAGACAATCCAATTGAATTAGATCCATACTATCGAAAAAGGTAATTTTACCATTATCACCGAATTATCAACACCGTCACCACTTGTCATTACCATCATCACCACCACCATCGTCATAATCACCACTACCTCACCATTAAAATTGTTTCGTTTGCTGTCCATTGATTTTATCGTATACTCATCTGGCTTCCAGTCCACCACACTGCTCCCCACATCTTCACCGTAACCCTGGCAGGGAGCTGGATACCACTTGCCCAAGGTGGACTCCCAGGCTAGCGGAGGGAAGGAGGCACCTTACATCTCCATTGTGATTTATCCCTTGTGAGACAAACCACCCGCTGCCCTAAATAAGAGAGCTATCACGAATTTGCCCTCAACAAATTTTGTTATTTCATTTTCAGAGTATTTGAGTTAATTCCAAGCCTGCAAGTATTGGATGACATACCCAGACTGGAGGAAGACTTGAGAGAACAGCCAAGTAGTACGTGTTGTATTTCATGAACAACGAGAGAATTGTTCTGCTCATAGCAGTTTCTAACACCTGTATACTGCCTGAATCGTCGAATTGCTCAAGGAGCGAAGCTGAACGCCTTGAAAGAGTAGTGTTTGGTCGAAGGAGCTAAACTGAAAACCTGCAAGACAGTCATTTTGAAATCTCCTGTACAATCCTGAATCTACTGTATAATACAAAGCCTCGACTGCATATTTTCATGGAAATTATCTCAACACTCGTCACAATGTATGTGAAGAAAGGATATTTTGATCGCACTTAATGCCCATATCAGTCAACTGATCTTTGGATCTCGACAGGGGTGACACTCCCTAAATTCTTGGTCATGTTGCCTACCATATTCCCACCGAATCCCACGCTAACCAGGCTCTCATGTGTATATAATAATCATAGAACAAACATTCCGCTGGCGGTCTTAAAACGTATTTTATTTATGTAAATACAACAATTTTTATAAACTATATATTCAGCATTTCATCTGTCGACAAAAATATTTACCTTATTTAAAATAATTACATATCTTAGGACGCTTTCCATGAACACGGCCAAGAACAGTCAGATCGATTAAATTATTAAATGAAATACAAAACGTTGGGGTACTGATGTGACCAGAATATTTGGATCAAAATTAGGAGGTCCATTTTAGGTAAGGCTACAAGGTATGGATGAGAGGAGGATTTCAAGATAGTTCAAAATTCAGAGTTCGCTTTAGTTTAGGGTCAATGTTAGGTTATTGTTATACGTGCTTTGTGTTGATTCTTTCATGTTTAAATGATTTTGAAAAATAGTCGCCATCTTGAAAACCTCCCTCTCGTCCATCGCCTTTGGCAACGACTGTCCATTTTGGCCAGATGTCCGAAAAACTTTGCCCAAATCTCCCAAGAAATCCTGATGAGAGCGCGGTCTGACCATGACAATGTAAAACACACTAACGTTGCGTTTACAATGTAACGGACAGCTTTGCGTAGCGACGTGAAAAACACTTTTAGGAACGCTATTTTCAGAGGAATTTTTGCAACAGAAAGTGATGTTGTTTCGCTCAGCTTCTGAAAGTTGTACATTCCGTATCGGATAGGTGGTTTTTCGCGCCGCTAGGGAAAGCTATCTGGTATAGTGGAAACGTAGCCTAAAATGCATTTAGAATGCAACATTAATAAATTACATGATATAAAGACATAATCAAATCTCGTACGTTTCCTTCACACTAGTGGTCCTGTTTTCATATTGTCCAGGAAGAACATGCTTCATGACTGCGCTCGCGTGATGACTGCTAGAGCCATGTGTATGATAAACATTCCTATCCACAGTCTTCATAAATTTACTCAGTTTCTGATATTCAATAAAATGCTTTATTACCATAAACATGATGTGCGGCAACACAGAACATTTTCTTCCATAGCAATCGTTCCGCTTCTTCTTTCGCCAAAACTTCGGCCATCGCTGCACATCGTCGCCACAACGTCGCTCGCCGTTCGGCAGTCTCCGTAGCCGAACTCTCGGCAACATTTTCTGATAACTGCAGTTGGCTCTCTTCTTTAGCGATTTCAATGTAGCTCTGTTGGGGGTGAGGAAGAATGAGAAAGTTACGAATGGAATACAATTACAATACAATCTAGTATAAAACAAAATATAAAATTGGAATACACAATCAACACAAAATGAATACACTACAAAACAGTAAAATACAATAGTATTCAATAGTATTTAATAAACTCTGTGCAAGGTTACTATCTATATAGATACCTGAACAAAATTTGTTTCATCTTCGGCGAGTGTTTGTAACTTTCTATTATAACTCGCCCGACGATCTGCTAGCGCATGCGCAGTGTCATTTCCAAGTGCCCTAGTCTCAGTCTGCTGTCGTTCAGCCTCCACTCCAGACACAAACATTTCATCTGGCATCGGCGGATGATACTTACTGCGTATGAACGTGAGGCTAGGCAGAGGAGCGCTCAGTAATTTCGGGGACTTGGGCGCTAATGTGACGTCACACACATCGGCATCATCAAAGGAATTGCAACGCGATATTTTGACGTGAATAATATTGCTCTAAAAGAAAATGAATGTTGATGACATATTTAATGCTTGAACCTGAGTAGATGTCCAATGAATAAAGTAATATTGGGAATTACTAGTCAACAGCACACTGTTTACTGATACTGCTCCAGTTTTTCATAAACGTTCTAGTCGCATTTTCTATAAGTATGAAAACACCGCACGTTTTTCTCCCGAGACTACAGTTTCCTCCTGAAGTAACACTCGATCAATAAGAGATGATCCTTACTGGACCTCTAGGGAGAACAGTTTAGAACTGGTAGAGCTATCCAGTATAGATAAAGTTAGTTTAGTTTAGGTTTCCTCCTGCGGTATCACTGGATCAATAAGACATGATCCTTTTATTGGATCTCTAGGGAAAACAGTTCAGAACAGCTACTATCCAGCATCAATAAAGTTAGTTTATTTTAGCTTTTTTCATGTGAACTAACCTGAGTATCAGGCTCTATTTTACTATTTATTTATTTATAGGCCTGATCACAGGTTATACAGTATGTGGACAATCAAAGGTGGCTTTTATGTCAGCTCTAAGAAGAACAGTTTCGACGTTATATATAGTGTTATCGCAGGCGTATCCGGAGTATATCTTACAGTAAAATGCATTTCAGTCAACATCCTGTCTTCTTCCGCTTTCGTTCGTAATACAGGACCACGATCTAAAGGAAAAGTCATCTATTGGTGAAAAGTTTTATAGGAAAACAACTATTCCGAAAAAAATGTCACCTTGAAATTCAACATGTGACCTATACAAAAAGACTGTAGCGTTGCAAAAAAATCCTCCCGCAAAATACCGCAGGCTATTGAGAATTTAACAAGAACAAATTACACCGCCACACAGCGACTGAGCATTCTCAGTATCGTAAATATTAATTAAAGCGTCTTTATTATAATTGAGCAACCCACTATTGAAGTTCGCTAAGCTAATACTATACGATCTCAATCAATCAGTTAATCGTAAACAGTTCCATACTCTGTCCTTATAAAGTAACTTGACTGATAATACACTGTTCTAGCAAATGGTATATCTTCAAAGTAATTAGTCCAGGATTGTAGGAACTTCTGGTCTTACGTTTCTCGCTGCGAACACATGATACGATAAGAGTCACTGAGTCAGTCGACTCGCGTGGGTTTTCTCCGGGTGCTTCGGTTTCCTCCCACAAGGAATATTGACAGAGTGGGTTGGGATTAGCCTCTAACTGACCCTTTCACTGCAGCTGTGATCTATGATCAGACACGAGTCTTGTGGCTGGCAGAAAGTCTTTGATTCCATCAAGTTGCATTCTTCGCAGTTCAGCTCTCAGCTGCGAGTAAGGATGATTAGCACCCCTCACTTCACTTCAACTAAGCTCTGGCTTGCTACACGTTGTCAAGCAAGGAGTTCAGTCACCTGCCTTTCAGTTTAATAAAATAATACAAACCTTTATCTCGCGAAGTGAAATTTAAAATACCATTTTCCAGATCTCTTTCTTTTTGCCGAAATATATCCTCAAGTGTGTGTAGCTCTTGCTTTTGTCCTCGAGACAACATCTTGGCTATCCTAAAAAAATACTGCAAGTTTTGGTTTGTGGAACACATCACGTCTATTTATTATTGCTCCGCTCCACAAGCCCATCATCAGGGCTAATGATTACATTATCAACCAATCATGACGACGATTACGGATAAGTCTTGTAATAAAAATACACTTGAATTTTTTCACAAACCCAACACATACTGTATATTATCGCCATGCAAATAACTTAGTAAAGAAATACGACAGTTTTATCTTTTCGCCTCACTTGTGTTCCAACTGCATGACCGATAAGTTAAAATAATTTCTAAGAGAGCAGCGGAATGATAGGGATACAACTACCTGATACAATTAAGGGCCTGACTAACTTCACGATGAACGGCCTTCGCTCGAAACATCGAAGTTCTCCTTGTATTTTTCAGGTCGATGTATCTCTACCAATCCAAATCTTTCTTATTATTGCCACGACCTACACTTGGCACACACCGTTCGTGATCGTCATTTATACTTTCAATTTCCTAGCGCCCAAACAGCAAAACTGCGAATCTGAAAATACACTTACTCATCAAAAGGCATCATGTCACGTTTAGTCTCGGTGTCAAAAGTTTTCAAATCTTGCTCAAGTGTGTTTCAACACTGGCTTCGAGATTAAGGTCTATTTTTGTAGAGAAACTCTGCCCACCTCTTTAAGTATGGGGGCGATCGACAGGTACTTATAAAATACCTGTTGTTAAAACACGCTGCAAGTCACGGAAATTGCTTCCCATATCTCTTAGAATTAAGAAGCATTGCATTCATTTATCAGAACTTCAAGTATTGCAACTCGAGGATATTGCGTTCCGACATAGCGAATAAAAGCTTCAGACCTATTTTCTTCAAACAATGTATTATTCAAAAGTTATCGTTTATCATCAGCGTTTAACGTCATAGCGATGTTTATCTGAACGATTTTAATATGGATACCTGCATGAGAAAAACAGCGGATATCATGACATTTTTCATCAACAGACGTTTTATATTGATATATTAAATATATAGGATCTATAGATGCTTAGGCAGTCGTTTGTAGAAGAGTCTTTTTTACCGAAGCACTAATTTTTCCCAACATACAAACGTTGTGCAGTTCTATGACTTCTAAAATCCGTTACATCATATTACTTTCCAACGATTGTAACGATGTAACCCACGCTATAACCACGCTATATATTGTGGTGTTATATACTCAGGTGAAGTTATATTTAGGTCAGGTAAAAAAGAACAAGTGGTTCGCGTCCCAACGCTTCCTTTTTCCTCGAGAAACATTTTTTTTACTTGGCTTAAGATGATCTCTGAGTGTGTCCGCACCGAGCAAGCTGAAAAATTGTTTGACCGCGGAGGAAATCGAGCCCGCGACTTTTGCTTTGTCCAGTGCTCTACCAACTGAGCTATGAGATCAAGTCGGTTCGAGTGGGTAATACTTCAGAACTCAATCTAGTTCCTACGATATCTTATGATAACATCGCGCAATCATTACATTCACGACTGACTTAACCTCGTAGCTCAGTTGGTTGAGCATTGGAGTAGCAAACCAAAGGTCACTCACTAATTCCCACCACAGTCAACCAAGTTTTCAGCTTGCCCGATGTAGTGGACACACTCAGAGAGATCATCTTAAAAAATAGTGACATAATATCAATAGTTGAACCAGGCA